AACTCTCCCGGAAGACGCAGTGGTTCTCCGTACACCAGTTCAGCTGATGAAGCAGTGATGTCCTCCTTGAAGGCAGATCTTATTCCGAGAAGGACAAACGGCAGTACTTCGGTCCAGTCTGATTTGCTGTGAGCCATTATAGCAGCTTTCAACTGGCGGTGGAGTCTTTCAATCATACCGTTGGCTTGTGGATGCCAGCTGGTAGTGAACTGGAGCTTTATGCCCAACTGTCGTGCTAGGTCTTTAAACAAAGTCGATGTGAACTGGGATCCGCGATCACATGTCAACTTTTGTGGGCATCCAAATCGAGCTATCCAAGTAGAGACAAACGCTCCAGTAACAGATTCGGCAGTTATTTGATCAATAGGACAAATTTCAGGCCAACGAGTAAATCTATCTATGATAGTTAGACAGTACCTAGAAGATTTTGATAAGGGAAGTGGGCCAATTAGGTCAATGTGGACATGAGAAAAACGTTCTGTAGGTGTATGAAAATCACCAAGGGGAAGAAACATGTCTAGTTATCTTAGATCTTTGGCATGAGAGGCAAGATTGAGTCCATTTGTGGCAATCCTTACGAATGGAAGGCCAGACAAAACGATCGCAGATAAGTTTTGTTGTGGCACGTATTCCAGGATGACTCAGCTTGTGGAACTGGTCGAAAACTCTACGTCGCAGTTCCGATGGCACAAAGGGTCTAGGAGTTCCTGTTGAGGTGTCACAGATAAGGCTCAAATGGGTTCCAGGAATCGGAACTTTCTCCAATCTAAGAGATGTAGTACTTTCTGAAATGAGATTTTGAAGTTCTTCGTCTGACTCTTGTGACTTGGCTAAGGATTCATGATCTAAAACAGTTGAAATGGCTTCAACACGTGACAAAGCATCAGCAACTATATTTTGTGAACCACTGATGTGCTTTATGTCTGTCGAAAACTCAGAGATAAATGAAAGTTGGCGTAACTGAGCTGGAGGCAACTTGTCACGGCGCTGTTGAAAGGCATAAATAAGTGGTTTATGATCTGTGAATATAGTGAAAGAAGTTGTTTCCAAGAGATGACGGAAATGCTGCACAGCTTCATAAATAGCGAGGAGTTCTCTGTAGTATGCAGGCCAGATGCACTGTTTGGATGATAGTTTCTTGGAGAAAAAACCTAGTGGTTGCCAAGAGTCATCGACAAACTGTTGGAGGCAAGCACCTACACTTACTCCAGAGGCGTCTGTAAAGAGACCAAGAGGAGCATCAGGTTTAGGATGAAACAATAGTGTTGCTGATGATAAGCTAGCCTTGCATGCTTGGAAAGCTTCTTCTGTCTCTGGAGTCCAGGGCACAGGGAGGGAACCTTTTGAATCAGCGTCACTAAGTAGGGAGTGCAGAGGTGCTTGAAATTCAGCGGCCTTTGGCAGAAACCTACGATAAAAGTTCATAATTCCCAAGAATCTGCGAAGACCACGCATTGTCTGAGGTAACTGGTAGTCTTGTAGAGCAGTGACTCTCTCCTGAGGTGGACGTGTCCCAGCAGATGAGACTAAGTAACCTAAAAATTTAACTTCTGGTACACCAATTACACATTTAGATGGATTTACAACTACTCCATAGTCAGAAAGTCGTTCAAACAACATTCTTAGGTGTTCTTTATGTATTTCTTCAGACTGGGAAAATACTAAAATGTCGTCAATATATGCATAACAAAAATCAAGGCCGTGAATAACTTCATCTATGAATCTTTGAAATGTTTGACCCGCGTTGCGTAAGCCAAAAGTCATGAATGGAAATTCAAACAAACCAAATGGAGTGGTGATTGCTGTTTTTTGGATGTCATCTTCGTGGACGGGAATTTGGTGGTAAGCCTTGGTCAAATCAATGGCAGAGAAATGCGTACAGCCTACTAAATTGAACGAGAAATCCTGAATATGTGGTACAGGGTATCTGTCAGGAACAGTACGAGCATTTAAAGCGCGGTAATCACCGCAAGGACGCCATCCATTTTCACCTTTAGGCACCATGTGCAAAGGTGAGAACCAGGGGCTTTCAGAGGGTCGAGCAATACCAAGCTTAACCATCTCCTCAAATTCTTTCCGGGCAGCTTTCAATTTTTGAGGATGTAAGCGACGTGGTCGACAGTGAACAGGAGGACCAGGTGTAACATTTATATGATGAACTGTTTTATGTTTCACAGCACGAGGTAAGCCTGGAGGACGAATAATATCAGGGAATTCAGAAAAAACTTCTGCCAATGGCGAAGAGAAAGATATAACTTTAATACTAGTTTGATTGTTGTTAGAAACTATTCCCTCGGCATTCAATCCCGTTTTCTTGTCAACCAAACATTTCATTTTGCAATCGGGTAATAAGTGATAGTGTGAAAGGAAGTCTGAACCTAATATAGGTATTGAAACATCCGCTACCACTAGACTCCAAGGGAAAATACGTCTAAGGCCTAAATTAAGGGTGAGAGGCATGGTACCATAAGTCTTTATTTCACTGTTATTGGCAGCACTTAGTGAATAGCTAGTAGGAAAACGTTTATATTTGATAAGGCGTTTAGGAAAACACGACACATCAGACCCGGTGTCGATAAGGAACCTAGTTCGTGAATTTCTGTCCATCACAAAGAGACGGCCGCCAGCATTTGAACAATCCGTTGCGGCCTCTACGGATTGTTGCTGAGGTTTCCCTGAAAAGAGCACGGAGAAAGACATTTGGTAGCATTGTTTTTGAATTTTCTATGGTACCAGCACCAGTTCTTAGAGGGATTAGGTTCGTTTCCTGATCCACCACGAGACTGGGAACGACCCCTAGGTCTCACCTGTGTATCTCGTACTCTGGTTTCTGATAATGCTTGAACTAGTTTAGAGAGGGATTCTATTGCATTTAATAAAGAAGTGTTACCTGAAGAGACTTCACAAATACCAGGTGTTGAAGGAATGTCAGCTACCTCCATGATCTTATCAGCCAGTTCTGCCAGTTTGTCCAAGGAGAGCTCAAGTTGCGTAGTCAATATGGCTTGTGAATGAGGAGGGAGTCGTCTGAGCCACAATTGACGAAGCATGTTGTCTTGAAGGGGAGTCGAGCCCGCAAGAGACCTAAGATGCCTCAAAAACTGAGAAGGCTTGCGGTCTCCAAGGTCCTCTTCACTCAGCAGCCGCCGCACACGTTGCTCTTCGGATGCAGAGAGGCGTTCAATCAGTTTCTTTTTTAGATGTCCGTATTTGTCGCCTTGAGGAGGGTTTGTTATGATGTCTTCGACTTCAGCAGCAATTCCTGTGTCCAATTGCGAGACCACGTAGTGAAACTTGGTGTCGTCGTTGGTAATTCCAGATATAAGAAATTGCGAGTCAACTTGACAGAACCACAGACTTGGTCTTTCAGGCCAAAAGGGCGGAAGTTTGACGGCTACTCTGTTCACCGACATGTTTTGAGAAGTGCTGGGTTGTCCAATCCGTTGACGCAGTTCTTCATTCGCAGTTCTAAGTTCGGCGAGTTGAGTCTGCAGGTCTTCTAATGACATCATTCGAAGGAGGAAACACAAAAGATTTAAACTCTTCAAAGAAAATAAGTCTTTAGATAACGATCACGTCGGGGTCACCATTTTGGTCGTGGTTGTTCGTGTACATAGAATAAAATTATGACCAAATAAGTAATAGAAAAGTATTTTAATAAGAGTTAAATTGTGTGTACATTCCTGTAGAAAAACAAAGATCAGACTAACTTAATGCGTTGCTATGACAACGTCATCAGCTGACGCTACAAAATCATAAACAAAATCAGAGTCTACACCAACACCAATTGTGTCACCAGCTCCACGTTCGATTTCAACACCATCAATCACTTCTTCATTTTCATCACTTTCACTTGGGTTACTATCATTTTCAATTATAGTTTCATAATTTCTGACACTATAACCACTAACTACACTCAAATTATCATCTTCTAATAGATTTTCAATATCATCATCACCTAGACACTCGCCCGCACGATACATGTTTGTTTACAACCGTCAGCTGTCCAGAGAGCAACAATAAGTCACGGTCATCGTTTGCTAAATTCCTACTCCAAAGGCTTATAAATAATACCAAATATAGAAAAAGCTATATGTAATAAAATGAAAACCCTAAAAACGCCACAGAACAGTATCATTAATTAAATAACAGTATTTACAATTAAAAAACAACCTATTAAAGTGCTGCCGGGTATTTCCCGGGTTACGACCGTTCGGGGCAGACTATAAACCCGGGTCATACCCGGCATACGACCGCAAAGGGTTAAGTATTTAGAGGACAATTCACTAGTTTCAGAAATATTTCTTAGGAAAAAGATGAATATACAAACATTTAGTGAAATAGGCCTACTATCAATTAATTTCTTTAAAAATCAATACATATACAGTAAACTCCTTTTTAACTGTGCTATGTCAAACCTAAACCATTATAAAAAATGCATATCAATTGGGAAATCAGCTAGCGAACAGAAATTTGTTGGTCAAAGGAGTGTAATGGAGTGTATCTAAATACTAAATACAGTAAGAGATTTAGAAATATTTTAATATTTTAAGAAATAGATTTATTGTAGTACAGTTGTAGATCAGTTTGAACCGCAATGGTCTTTAAAACTCAATCATTGATTAGACCTAACCGAAAAACAAGGTTATCCGAAACGGCCTCGCCCCATTTATTTCACTTAGTCAGGATTTAGAATTCAAGTACTTTCTTTTCCACTCCTAAAATTTGACATTTAACGATTTAATAAAATTGTATAGCCTTGTATTTGGGGAATAATTTTACGATTCTTGAAATTAAGAAAAACGAGAAAATACAAGAGTATATGCATGACACCAATACATCCATGTACATTAATTTCACTTGCGTCGTCTAAATTTTCAATTTTAAATTATCGAAAGATATAGAAGTGGATCTAACTCAACAATGAGAGTTGAAAGGTAAAGTTTTAGAAAAGTTATCTAACAATTTATAAGCATGCCGTTAGAGATGACTGTACTTACGGTCCTGCATGAGGTTTGCTAGGAGGTCTACAGGGGGACGGGCTACGACTGGAGTGTTTACTGCTGTTGGATACCACGTGGAGACTATCCATGTCCGATCGCCACAGGAGGAATCATCTCAATAAACAACCACCATCTGCAAACATGACATCAAGTTCAATAGACTCAGTTTTCCCTCTCCTAACCATAAATAATTGTTTTGGACAAAAAAATAAGTATGTAATTTTTTGCTTTGTCCATAGCCTCGTATAACCTATTAAACCCCATTTCTCAAAAGCTGTCGATTCAGTTAAGTTTATTGCTGCTTACATCGGTAGTTTCGAACACATTTTAGTTATGTATTAACTTCTGACGAGTCGGACTAACGTAGTTCGGGCAAAGATCAGGCCTAATTCTGAGGCGTGTGATTGAGAGGTATTTGACTGAAACATAACGATACTGATGTGATTATAACTATCTCTTAGACTACTGAAATAAATGTTTCCACACAAAATGTACTGTTATTGCACTAGGCTTAAAATCCTTGATAGCACCCTGAACAAGAGCTATTTAGGTTATAGGTCTCGTTCCAATGTGACAAAGTAAAATTAGTGAGAGAAATTGAAAAAGTGCAGCAATCAGCTGCTATTTCACCTGTTATAATCAGTAAAAATAGCCACTTTTTAAGCTGCAGAAAGGTCAGATTTATCAACATAAATCGACACAGTTATTTATAGTTACAATACAATTAGAACCAGATAGACGTTGATCTAGAATACTCATTGAGCCATGCGAACGAGATCATCTTGAAAATTAAGAAGTTAAACGGGGCAAAGCCCGCGGGTTACAGCTAGTAAATACATATATGAAATAAGTTTTAACAATAAATAACTGTGTACCCTTTTTAAGAATAAAACTAGAGGACCAATGCTGCTCCGCAGCGTTAGTATAAATATCATATCCAAGACATAATCAATTTATGATTTTTGATTGAGTAATACAGTAATTTGAACTTAACTGATTCAAATGATCAATAGCTCAAATTAAAGTCAATTTACTGATTATTTTGAGTCTAAAGCATATAAAAAAACATAAACAATACTGGAGCTATTGATTTTTAATCATAGAAAACCTTATAAAAAATAATTTTTATGTACGTTGTTCCCCTTGCGTTTGCTTGAAACTCGTCCAATTAGAATAACTAATATTTTAAATGAAAGCCGGTATTTCACTGAGGATTCTTAGACCAAAATATATAGGATTATATAATTATAACTGGTGAAATACATCTTAAATTGAAGTAAAAATTCAAAAATAAATCAAATTTATGTTTTTGGTTGAATAGGCCTCATACAGTAGATAAATATATGCCAATGCTTGATGTGAAATCTGTGCGTGCATACCTTCAATTTGAGACCTAACTCATGAACATTGGTCGTTTAGAAGACCTCAATCAAGAAAATCGGTCGGGTAGAAGAGCCAAACGAACTCAAAAAAATTTAAATAGGTGCATAATATTATTTAATTATACTTAAATAGGCTATTTTATTTTGTGAATAAGTTAATATTCCCATTATTAGCTATGCTTGAATATGAATAAAAGAGTATTTTAGGGCTACTATATATCAAAACAATTACTGATGTTTATGTCTTATACTAGTGAACCACTTGAGAAAATAGTCAACAAACTTAACTAGGTGCTAACACAAGGTCTTGAGACTGGGATGACAATGTGAAAGCCAATCTTGCCAGATAAAGAATGTCATGCTCTACACCAGAGGACAAGATAAGATAGAGATAAAATCTGGCAATGACCTTTGTTTTTGAAAAGAACATTATTGAGCTACTGTAGATCTGGACAAAATTACATCCATACAAGTCTAGAAGCAAGACCAAAGTATATATTGATTATATAACTGTAGGGGGGGGGGAGAATTTATTTCAACTAAAAATAAATATGTGACTTCAAAACATGGCTTATCCATTAGGCCTAAATATTTGTCATGGAATCTTGGTCTTAACTTTTAAAATTACATAATATTATTAACGTGCCATGCCCAATCACTACCGGTACCCATAATTCTTCTTATTTTAGGAGATTAAGTCTTGATATATTTTTGACTCAGAATCTGTAGACAGGGGTGTAAATGAGGTTGGACCCCCTTGGTTTCTAACAATCGGGTAGGAATTGTAAATCATCACCTACACTGAACTAGGCCTATTATTATTGTTACACATAGGCCTAATGTTATTGAACCCCTCTAAGCCGCGTTTACATCGGAGTTTGAAACACGAGTTGCAAACAGAAATTGCAAACATCTCTAAAAACACACATTTTTAGACGAAACATTTCGCTGTTGCAAACAGTTTTTCAGTGTTTGCAGCAGAAATTTTTGTTTCAACCTGAAGACAGTAAAGATCAAAGGGAGTTGAAAATTTTTGTTTGCAACACTGGTTTCGGTCACTATGTGCCGTTGAAACACGAAACAGAAACATTTCCCCGCCATCCCCTACGCTGCCACCTCAACTCTCACTCACGTGTTCACTCGCACCAGTCGCACCACCCTGTGTCTCACTCAAGTGTCATTACTCTGTCTAGACTGCTACTAGTTATCTCGTGCTTGTTGTGAGTGATCAGTGGTGAGTGACAATGGAAAATGTAAGAAAATGGAAGAGTGAGATGGAGTGGGGAGATGACAACATTCTAAAGTTAATTTAGCTTGTAGGCTACATTAAGCAGCAAGTCCTGTGGAACCAAACTATTCCTGATTACAAAAATAAAATCATGAACAATTACGCAAGGAATGATATTTCATTCAAAATGACATCCTCAACACTTGACATCCTCAGAAGGACTGATTCTAGGAACCAGAACATAGACGAGTCATAATCAACGTCGAAGTGTTTCAAGAATTTTCATGAAACATGGAAATAAAACTATGAAATAAAAATTGCAAACTTGTATTTAAAACTTCTGTTTGCAACTGCTATTTGCAATAAAAGTCTGCCACTTTTTGTTTGAAACTTCGGTGTAAACACGGCTTCATAACAATAGGCTATTATTTAAGTGTACATGGCTAATTTACTAGAGATTAGAGAATTTTATTCACATAACCTACAAGGGATTATATTAATTTCCACACCATCATTGTTACAAATGTAATAGGGTTATGGGGCCTATCAGTTCCCACATGGTTAAAAATCAGTGACCTTTTAATGACTTTTTGTGGTACCAGTACAAAAATATCTGTAAGATTATTTACCTGTAGTATCGGTAACTGTAAAAAAATCTGTGAAATTTTGAAATCATGAGTTGATCACTAAATGAATAGTACGCTTTACAATTACAAAATATAAAATTTGTAAAAACCCATTTTACCTTGTCATAGCTTCACATTATTAAGAAGATTAACAAATATATAAGTTGAACTGATCTAGCCCATTTCATTTCTGTGGTTCAAATGAAAGTACATATATGACTTTTCACATGACAAGTAGACAACCATACCAGGAACTTTTTAAGTATACAAACTTGTTAGATATCTCATCCATTGCAACCGATATGTCATAGTCGATGTATATTGACAACACACGTAGTAACACTATAAATCAGCCGTTGTCAAACAAATTGTGACAGCAGCAAAATCAATCAACCTTCAAACTTAACTAGGCTACTACAATAGTTTTTAATCCTATTCAGTAGGCTTCCCACAACAATCCCAAATTTACACACAGTTCAATGTGTTTTCTGTATAGTATCTAATGGATATTAATGCATGTATACAAAATAGTTTTACACTGACTAAGTTACACCAAATCATACAAAAGAATTCTCAGAGTTTAACAAAACATGACTAGGAGTTGGAAATCAACACAAGCTTTGGATGAAAATAAATTAGGCCTAAACCATGTATTATCGAAACAAAATATGATTTCCAAAACACCAAAGTGATATCTAAGTCTAGATGTTTTGATGGGCCCACTGCAGCTTTTTCAGTTTGTTTAATCAGTGTTTTATGATAAAGGTTTAGATTAAAACAATTCTATGGTGAGAACTAGCTTGTTATCTAAGTTGAGTGACCTTTTCAAGGCAACATTTTAGTAAATGATCCACATGTCATTCTTAAAATTGATCACCCTCCCTATCAGGATGCGTTTGTAAACCCACATGAATCAATCTAATACGATTGTCCTTTTCCCTACTATTGAACTAAAATACAATTACTTTCAAATGGCTAGCTTCCATCGTAGATTAAAAATACTTCCTTAGATGTATTATCATTGTATAGTTCAGTGAGGATGAATTTTCAAATTAACTGTATTCTTCATTTATATAAGTTAAAGAGTGTTTTGTTGTTTTATTATAAATTTGTTTCCAGTTTTTAACTAACTTACCCATTAGTAATTTGGGAACTATTTTATCTGAATAGAAAAATCTATACATATAGACAACAGTTTGTTCTCCAATTTTATATCCAACCAATAAGTAAAGCACATCACAACAAGCGTATGTACTCAAATGTCACCAACATTGAACACAGATATAGGCCTAACAATATGAGAGTTCTGATTTCACTGCCTGATTATTTAGAGTCTTAAAAAACATAAATACAAAAAAAAACAATACTGGAGAAATATTTTTTTAATCATAAAACCCTTATGAAAAATATTTTTTATGTTGATTGTTCACCTTGCGTTTGCTTGAAATTCGTCCGATTTGAATAACTGATACCGGTAGCTTAAATGAAAGCCAGTATTTCACTGAAGTTTTTAGACAAAAATATATAGGATTATATAATAACTGGTGAAATACATCTTAAATTGAAGTAAGAATTCTAAAATGAATCAAATTATGTTTTTTGGTCAAGTAGTACAGTAGGTAAATATATGCCGAAGCTTGACGTGAAATCTTTGCAAGCATACCTTCAATTTGAGACCTCAATCATGAAAATCGGTCGGATAGAAGAGCCAAGCGAACTGGGCAAAGAAAATCCAAATTTAACTCCCATTAGAAATACATGGGTAGCGAATTTTGTCCACGCATAAGCCGAGTGGGATTATCTAAATATATAAAAGGCAAACCCCTCACTGACTGACTGACTGACTCACTCACTCACTCATTCATCACTAATTCTCCCACTTCCCATTTACCTAGGAGGCTGAAATTCGGTACACCGATTCTTTGGACATTTGTCCGTGGACAAATTCAGGAGATGAAAGATTTCTTGAATTCTGTGGTAGTAACTTGAGGGTTTATATTGCTTGAGTAGTTGCAATGCACTTTTAGAGTCGCTGAGTACAAATCTTTTGGCTTTCTATAACCATGCAGTGGGCAACCGCTGCGTTGATGGCAAGGAGCTCTGTGTCAGTGCTGGAACATGAATTTGCCGGAACAAAGAAGGACTCGTTGGAACGTTCCGCAAAGTAACCGGCTCCAGATTTGGATTCCGCAGGGTCTAATGATCCATCAGTGTAGATCTTATAATAATCTTCGTAGTTTGACTGGATGATTTCGAGGGCAGCAGCTTTTTGTATTTCTATTGGGTCTTTCTTGGATGTCATTTCAGGGAGGTCCAATTCAATCCTTGGTGGGCAAAAATTCCATGGCGGGATGGAGTTGACAGTTGGGTAGGGCACTGGTGTTACGTTTGGTGTATTAACAGTTAAATATAGGCCTACTTCACTAACAGACACAACTAAAACAGTCACCTCTAACACAGAAGAGCGCGTGAGGAAATAAACTTCGCGCTAAGGACTTGCGCGATAGGGCGCACGCGGAGAAAATCTCCGCAAACTGACAACGCGACACTGAATTGCAACTGACAACAAAATAAGGAGGAATTTGGGGGTAAAAATAGCTTAGGGGCCTTCCCGGGATGAGGTGTGTGAAGTACAGAGCCGGACACGGCTGCTGACACTCATTATGCATAATTATTTTAACAAAAATCACAAGTGCGGCGGAAAACTCCACAAGCGCCCACTGGAGGGTTATTATACTATACTACCTATACAATACTATTTACTAGAAGAATCCTCTTCCTCACATTGACGCATCTTGTAGTCAGGGTCAGCGTCTGAGTCCTCTACTATTGAGCCAACATCATCCACATCATCTGGATCATCTATGTTGTCCTCATCTTCTTCTAAGAATCCTGCGTAGTCGTTCATCAAAATCTGGATCATCCACTGTCCATGATTTACTTACCGGTACTAAAAGATTTACTTGTAGTAGGTCGGTCCAATTGTACGTAAAAATATACATTAAACTGATACTAACTATTTAACAATAATATTGCGTACATAGCAGATAAGACAACTCAGAAAATGTAAATAGCCTATATCACGACAAAAAGATGAGTAATCAATAATAATTCGCTATCTTACAGTCTACATTATAGAACACAAGGTCACTTTGACAGCGTAACAGTATAGAACACACCCGGTAAATCTGACCGACCAGCGACACAAAAATTGTCCACCCTAGGCACTCCTCTGGGTAAAACTTATGCATATTCTACCTAAGTGGGGTTCAATCTCCACATGCACCCTTCAAATGTCCCGCCAACAATACCAGCCTCAAACCAAGGATCCGCTCGCGCATGCGCAGTGAGGATATGAGTAACAAGATCGTGGTAAGTCTCTCGTGTGTCTGATCTACTAGTGCCAGCATGGGTAAATAATATCATGGGACATGGGGACAACACCCCTCAGGTAGTGTCTTAGAGTAGTAATTCCTTATTCAATTAATAATTATTTCCAGATCATGTAGTCAAAATTCCTATCTCATTATTTCTTCACTTCTTTATTTCTTATTTGCTCAAATATAGTTCACATTGTGTCCAGTTGACTGATATAGGAATAAATATTGCATATGTTGAAAGATGATAAAGATATTTCCGTAGTAAAGATGCTTTAATTAACCAAACAATGGCTCTTTGGGCCTGTGAACTGCGGTAAATTGCCTCCTCTGTTGAAATAATGCGTCCAGTTGTTTCCAACATGAACGGTTTGGTTAATGATCATTAATCATACGACCGAATCACCAAGTGTGCACCAAATACGCCACACCTTCGGGTCAGGGAGGGGTAGGGAGGAAGGTATTGTGAGTAGTAAGCACTGCCAACATCAAAGCGGAAAAATTCCCATCGGTCAGATTGACCGATGTGTACTGTATTGTGTTAACTTAACTTAAGTTACCTTAATTTTCATGGACACACAACATTGTTGTTTTTGAGGCAATATTCAACAAAACTGTGTAGAATTTTGTTTGTCAGTACAAAAAACAAAACATAAGTAGGCCTACAAGTTATTTTAGCCTGCTGTAACTTAAGCTTAACTTATAAGGAGTAAGTCGGCTGCACTTTACTTTAGGTCCAACACTCATTCGAATGAAAATATCGTTTGTTCGATTGTTTCATTTGATATATCGTTTAGTTAGTTAGGTTAGGATAACCTTACCTAACTAACCAACCAAACGATATATCGAATGAAACAATCGATTAATCGATCGATATTTTTATTCGAATGAGTGTTAAAGTAAAGTGCAGCCGGAGTATCTAAGATTTACCTAATAAGCTATAACACTTCATTATGACTAGTTAAATAACTGAGCCTGAGCCAATAATCAATTAAGTCTGTTAAATGCCTCATCATTAAGACATGTTAAATAAACTCAGTTGTGATATTATTTCACAACAAATACCTGCCTAATATGAGTTAGTATTTCATTTAATTGTATCCAACTGTTGTTTAATTCCAGGTAAATGAAAAAACAACATTACACAGCAAAAGTTATTCATGTTAGACAAAGCCTTCCCAGCTAAAATTTCAAGGATACCTAAGTTGACTTACAAATTTATTGGAGAAGTAGGGTAGACTAGGTGTGAACTCTATGATTCAGATTGAGAAAAGCAAAAACACCAAATATGACAATAGGCCTACAGGTAATAAATGCAGTTGACTAAAATAATAAATACCGTGTATTCATTGACCAGTTCCATTAAGTAACAAATAAACAAAATAATCCTGTGAGATAAGTTACGACTTACGTAAAATCCCGACTATTTAGCCTTTATACTTCAGTAAATGGTGAAATAGCTAAATAGTTACCACACTTACAATGTAGTAATCTGATTCGGTTCGATTTTGAACAAGCACGACACAATAAAGAGCAGGGTTTCTAATCCACTTCAGTAATTTTCCCCACCACTTTACCTAAAAATACCCACTATTACCCACTCAGCTTGAATAAGAGTAATATGTGGTGTAATGACATAAAATATATAATTGAAATATATATCAAACTATTTTACCCAAAATAAATGGACATGATGTATTTTTGTAAAAAAAAAAAAACTTTAACCCAATTAAATATTTTTTATCTAGCTTGTCTGATATGTGGTTTGAGTAAATTATGATTCACTTTCCATAGAACTTTACATAACTATAAGTAAAACCATTGACTATATATACCTACAGACGTATATTTAGTCAATGATACAACTTAAGGGTTTAGTTGCAGAGTTAATTTTGTTACAAGTCAATGTTAGCAACGTTGTGTTAGGCAAATAAAATGAAACCATGGACTATTTAACATCAAATAAACTAAAAAGATGGCACCGCACTTAAAGTTATTTAACTAAAAAATAAACTTTTTTTAGGCTGATGGTAAACACGAATGCGTTACGTTGGTAATTTAATAACATTGTCTATTGAAAATATAAATTATATAGGCCTAGAACTTATGGTAAGCTTAGGCCTACTTGAACTTATACTTGAAGGTAAAATTGAAAACAATGGTTGGCAATGTTTGGTTAATTTTATCAATGTTTTACATATTTAGGTAGTTTTTAGCAGCTTGAATTCGAATCCCATATTGGCTGCACTGTACTGGAACGAGTGAACTTTAATCGAAGATCAGTGAATCAGAATATGACGTCACTGGTATCGAATGGATACGATACTAATGGTATCGATACTTTAGTTCCGATACTAATGGTATCGATACTTTAGTTCCGATACTGAGCCGGTATCGTTACTTTTTTGCGATACGGTATCGATACCAAATATCGGAAAGACAGTGGTATCGCAACAAGGAATTATCGAAGAAGTGGAAGAAGAAAAAAGGCTTTGCTGAAGGCAAAAAAAGTTGCCAATGTTTTTAAGGTTTGATTCTAAACATGAAGCCTGCTAAAGCAGAAACTTCCCAATGCACTAAAAACGAAAAATACCATGAAGCGAGCATGAAATACCCTATTTTACCCACTAAAATAGAATACCCGCAAAAATACCCACCATAGCTTAAAATACCCACAAAGTGGGTAATTACCCACCAATTCGAAACCCTGATAAAGAGTAAAAGTGATGATTAATTTACCTTTAGGTTGTTGTAGTGTAGTAGTGAATAAGTTTAGGATAGGCCATAGGCCAGGTCTGACTCAGATAGACAGAAGAAAAGAAACGCTCTTCTTCTTCAATGTCAGTCAATTCTCTTACAAGGAGAAAGTATTGTAGGGATTTATATTGTTAGATTCTATAGTATTTTTCTTCATACCAATGTAGCATTGGTTTTATAGGTAATCCATGTCATTTAAAAGGCCTAAAACATAATGACTTAAGTTTTTTTTTACTTTATAGACATAATATATTTAAATTAGTTTTTTTATTGATGAGTTAAATAAAATCAGGGCTGGGGGTTTTCATGGTGTGCACGCCAGCGGTACTTTTACTTTACTTAAAGAATACAAGAGAAAATACTTAAAACGCTCTTAGGGAAAGTGGTCAAAAATTATACAAGTAATGAATGTGCCTTAAATTCTAGGCATCCAAGTAGTCGGTCACCAGAATATTTACCTTTCTACTGAATATAATGCGTGGACCACTCATTGAAATCAGATTGGTTTTAACACGCATCGCATTTGATTTGCACCAGCACCAGCGTACTTGAGGAGTATGTTTTATTCAATTCAATTCAAAGATCAATTGGAGTCAGCATATTGAGAAGGTATGCGTTAGATTGAGCAGAATTCTATTCCTTGTACGAAAACTAAAGTACCAGATCACTCGTCCCTATCTGCTAATGGTCTACCACTCTCTCTTCCATAGCCACATGAACTATGGACTGGCTGTGTGGGGACATAGCCCTGCTACCCAAAGTCTGCTGCTACTTCAAAAGAAGGCCGTACGTATAATAACATCGTCAAGTTCAACTGACCATTGTCGGCCTATTTTCAAGGAGCTTGGCATCCTGACCATTCACAGCCAATACGTGCTTAACATCCTAGCCCTCCTGAAAGAAAATGAACCATCCTTCATAACTAGAAGCGTACAGCATGATTATGGGACGCGCAGAGCATGTGATCTTGACCTGCCCCGCTGCCGACTCAGCCACACTCTTAACTCCTACCCATCACTTGCTATTCGGCTTTTCAATACACTGCCGATAGGAGTTCGTGCTCTTGACAAAAAGAGATTCAAGCTGACGCTACGCCAGAGTTTGCTTAGTAGACCGCTTTACTCCTGGCAAGAAATCTTTGACGAGCCTCTGGATTTTGTAAATAATACCGCCATACCCGCCATTGTTGCTTAGTTGTATATATGTTTTGTGTTTAAATGTTTTTAATGTAAATAAGACGCAATCTATCCAACTTTGTTGGTCAAAGATGAAGTAACCAAGTATCAAAGTAAGTATCAAGTAAGTAAGTAATTCAAAAACCTTTATTTCATGCTACATCATGCTAAATATGTCACATCCTCTTATGCACGGTATTTACTCAGGGGAGGTATAGAAGAGGCTACGATGACAGCTGTGAGCTTCTTATTAGCTGAGGGAACGCCATTACCATAACAAAACGGTCGTTAGCCGTCGGCCTCGGTGGTCTAATGGTTAGCGTACCGGGCTGATATTCTGTAGGTCCCGGGTTCGAATCCTGCAGGTAGCGTTAACTTTTTGTCCAAGATTTTTTTATTATCAGCAAGTTTTGTTGGTTTGGTTCGGTTATTACAGTTTAATTTTATTATTAAGTCATTATAAAATTTTAATTGAGCAAATTCTAGTTTTATTTAATAAACAGAATTATTTTTCCGATTACTAAACTTTTGTTATATTATTTCTTTATCAGCAAGTTTGGTTAGTTCGGTTAGGTTATGATAGTTTAATTTTATAATTAAAAAATTATAAAATTGAATTTGATACATTTATAATTTTATTTTATGAACAGAACTATTTTTGCGATTAGTAAACCTTCATTGCCAAAGTGCTCTCTACTACAGCGCTGTTCACGGAGGAATTTTGAACTAAATGCCTCATTCGTACCTCCCCTAAGTCAGATCCTCTTGTGCACACGTACGTGCGAGGAAATCTTTAGGTGCATGCAATTTTACAATGTTGTTACTGGCAGAGTCTATTCACTGTTGATACAATACACAAATACAATAAATAATAATGGTATCTAAACTTACAACAATAACAGAGGGTTTTTTTATCTATGCTTATAGTAGTTAGTTGTGTAGTACCACGGCCACTTTAACTCTAAAGGTGGCCATGGTAGTACCCTTATAATAATACCATTGATTATAATCCCCAAAGAAAGAGTATTTGTGTATAGTGTGTGTAACGTTTTGCTGAGTGTAATGTTACGATCTTAACAGCACTGTTGAAATGTCAAAAGTGGGAGCCATATTGATTTTTGAAAGGAAAGGAAGGAAGGATGAGGAATGGAATAAGGATGAGTGAAGAAGGTGTGGTTATAATTATTGAAGATGGTACAAATCGTGTGTAATTTAATTATTTATCCTAAAGACCCTTCTTTATTAGGAAGATTTAATGTGAAAGTAGTTTCTTTAAAATAAAAATGGAACATAGAAAGGTTTGTGTCAGTGTACTGATATTTGTATGGTTTAAGGTTTATTTTAGATCGAACTGAGTATTTACAATAGTGCTTGTTGTCCATGTTTGTTGCACATAATTACCTATCCTGGAAACATTATAGCCTAGCATAGCCTACGTCAGGACACAAAGTAAATTTTATTTCTATTTAATAGCAGATACTTACTTTCAGGGCATTTACATAGGCTACATAAATATTTCCACGATATATTTAGGCTTATTACTTACTAGGCCTAATTTAAAATATCATTGTTGAAAATCAACTGTTAGGCCTATTAGCCTATCACAGACCTATAATGGTAAACTTAGACCTAGTTTTGTTAAGCATGTCAACAAGATTAATAAAGTATGCAGGTCACAATAAATGGAGTTGGGGCATTGTTCTTCCGGCAAATATTTAAGTGATTTACATTGGGATAGCCTATGATGTTATTTTTTATATGTCTACTTACAGTATTTTTAACGCTGAATCCAAAAATGCAATCAGTTTTTGTCGGAGAGATTCCTAAGTTGCCGTAGTGGCCGTAAAACGAAGGTTAGGATTACGAATCTAAGGATAATTGAGCGGTATTGAAGGTAATGGTAATATGGTGTGGTCTGGACTGGACGGGTCCATAGTGAGTGAGGAGGACTGTGTGAGAAGAGCAAAAAAACTGTTTATAGGCTAGGCCTACTTGATCTAAAGTGGAATGAAATTAAATCAATTCGTTTTGATTTTTGAAACCAAATAATCAGTTCTTATTTAACTTAGGCATGTGAGGAAGGTAGGTCGGGCTTTATGCAGATCCGTGACTGTATTAAGTGTTTTATGAATTATTTACCTACCCTATTTACGCTGGGATTTGATGTAATTTTGATATGTCTACTTAAAGTATTTGGTAATTATTTACCCTATTTACACTGGGATTTGATGTAATTTTGATATGTCTACTTACAGTATTTTTAACGCTGAATCCAAAAATGCAATCAGTTTTTTTCGGAGAGATTCCTAAGTGGCCGTACAGTTAGGCCTATATAATTAATAATAAGCTTCAGTTTTGTTGATTTATTAACATATTTGTGGCATAGACGAGTCCAAGTTCTAGTGGCAACTAACACTAAAAGGGGTGGAAGGTTTGTGGAGTGGAAACAGCTGTCAGTTGTTTACATTCTATACTGAACAAACAAAACTGCACACGACGCCATGAGAGCAAAATCAGAGTTACAATATGCAATAACTAGATTTTAAAAAGAAAATGGACTTTGGTGCTGTTTATAAAATACAATAAATCAACTACCATACATAAACTATTAATCACATGAACATAAATTATAAAACAAAATAGAATTTATTCACGTAAAATATCAGTAATAGAAGCTAGGCCACTGCCAACACGATCATCGTCCTCATTGACTAATGCCTCAACGTCTGGTAATGAACGTGCCATAGTGCATAATCCCATAGTACATAATCCCATTGTGTCTAAAAGTGAAAACGTGCCACAGTGCATAATTTAATGTCTTTTCTTTTCTTTTTAAAATCTACTTATTGCATATTGTAACTCTGATTTTGCTCTCATGGCGTCGTGTGTGGTTTTGTCTGTTTAGTATTGAATGTACAACTGACAGCTGTTTCCACTCCACAAACCTTCCACCCCTTTTAGTGTTAGTCGCCACTAGAACTTGGACTCGTCCATACCACAAATATGTTAATTAATCTACAAAACTGAAGCTTAATATTGATTATTTTACTGTTAGGCTACTTAGGAATCTCTCCAACCAAAACTGATCCCATTTTTGGATTCAGCGTTCAAAATACTGTAAGTAGACATATCAAAATTACATCATATCCCAATGTAAATACGGTAAATAATTACCGTTCTTCCTTACCAGGCATACTGGTTAATGAATAATAATCAGGCCTATCTGTGACAGTGCATTCCAATGTTCAAGTAACTTAAGCCTAACTTAATAAGATAGCTTAGATAGGCTATTTTTATGAAGCATGCAAGGATTTTTGAAATATTTGGCAGTGTCTTACCCAGTGTTTTAATTTGACAAAAAAACTCTGGTGATTCTTCAAAACATTTAAGGCCTCGGGTACGTTACGAGCGGCGAGCGGCAACCTGAGCGGCACGTAAGCGGCGGTGGTGGCTACGATACAAGCGGCACTTTTATAACGCTCATGAAATTTCTCAAGTTTTATGAGTTAGTTTAGTATAAAATGGTAAACTATGCTTACGTGCAAGACGTATTGCAACTTTGGTTGCTATCTGACAATTGTTTGCCTTTAAAGAAAAACTTAGTTTTTAGAAAAACCTTAACCATAATTTTTTCCCATACTTTTCTGGTGACTGAAGTGTTTTAAAACTTCCTTGCTGGTCATTCCACAAACATTACCTGGACTGCACCTCACGTATCGACTCGTATTGCATGTTTGCTGCTGTTTCCCTGTCATTTTAGGCCGAACAGAAGCATGACTCACCTGAGCGGCGAGCAGCGTTTTCGCGAAAATCGGTTTTGACTTGGAACCGCCGCTCAGACGTATCGTGGCCACCCTCAACAAATTTACACACAACCAAATGAGACCCGATGTCAGAGCGGCGCCGCTCATGCCGCTCGCCGCTCGTATCGTACCCGGGGCCTAATAACTTACAGCCCCTTAGGTGTAAACTTTGATGTTTTTGACATAAAGCTCCGACGATGTTGCATTGCAACAAACCATGTCAGCTTTGTATAATAATATTGAAGTTAGACACATTTTTGGACTACTGACAGTGGTAAACTTAAGCGTATAAAGTCATATATATATATGTATTTGTCCAGGGGCTATCAGAATGATATTATATGCTCAAATTTAGTTAACTTTTGTATTAAACAACTTAGTCATTAACCTTATAATTGGCCTTATAATTTTAAATTAACGAGAGGCTAATTTCAGGCTCTAACCTAGGCCCTAAATGCCCGTAGTTATGCTCTAAAATCATAACGTCAAGATTAAATTAGGTATGATAAGATCATAAGTAAGTTAGACTTCCATCATTTTTCACAAGATACACTTCTTGGTTCCTGGGTTGGAACGTAGTCTAAGTCTACGTCCTTCATAATCTACTACTTACAAACTGGGACGGGTGGCGTCGTCCAGCTACTAGGACGTCACGAATTGTGGATATTTATAGGCATGCACTGTGGATGCGATACTCCCTGGTGTGGATTAACGTCCGCACTGGTGAGTACTACGACTATCTGCAGTACTATCCTGATAATTAGACCAATTCGTATATACCAAGGAAAAGAATGTGGTTGAGATTCCACTATAAACTGTAGGTCCCTTAGTCGCCATTAGCTGTATGGGCTATTAATCAACAGCTGTGTCTAGGGAATATGTCGGCCTTAGTCACTAACAAGACTACAAGATCACGCCACTCATCATACACTCATCTTCATTCATACTTGGCTTAAAATATCTACTTTGTATGGTCGCCATTTCAAAGAAAAGTATTAAAGTATTTTCAACAAATCAAACATTAAGATTTTTTAGCGAATTTCCCTATAGGGAAGTAGCTATTACCGTAGGTCTCATGGTAAGACCTAGGCCCGGGACCGATTAACTTTTCATTTTGATGTCCCCAGAGGCCAAAAACACCATTCGATCAAATTTTTATACATCCACATTTTTATACATCAAATTGTATGTGTCCATCCGCACGATAACTTGGGTAATTTTTGTCCGACTTTGATAAAATTTGGTTTTAAGGTGTAAGGCAGGATAAACTTGAATGAGTTCGCGAACCAGCATGATCGGACTATGGGAACAGGGGGGTTTATGGGGGGTTTTATGGGTTAAAAATAGGTTTTCCCATTTTGACCCTAAAAACACAAAATTTCACAATTTCTTTCTAAACCATTTTGTAGAGCTTAAAAAAACCAATAATTTAGTATATTGAGGCGTTATTATGCGCCTAATTGTTAAAGATAAAATTCAAAAAAATCTTAATTTTAAAATTCTCATGTTATTCTTATGGAGAATAAGTCAACTGTTGTAGTTTGCTTGTTTATGAACATATTTTGATAAAATTTTGAAAATACATCAATTTCTTACTAAACTACAGTAACTTTTAACATTTAACATTTAAAAAAACTTTTACCCTCCCTGTTGCAGCAAACCTAAGTACTCGTTAAACTAATTCTGTTTAAATAGGGAACAAATGTGATATTTTTAAGGAGTCATTTTAGTGTAAATCCAATCAGGCAAATGGAAATTCGCTAAGTCTGCAGGTTTGCTGCGGCGGGGGTATTGTTGTTGTTAGCAGACAATGATCACGTCAAATCTTTAATAGACTGTGTTAAACCACAAAACCGATCTGAGCAATCTCTACCAGTAAACTTACTTATGGTAACTCATTGTAAGACTTACTTGATATAATTAAGAAGGTAAGGTGAGACTACAGCCGGGTTTACACGATGCCAGTTGGTGAGACAATTGTCAGGAGACAACTGACTGGCTTGAAATCACTGGCTTCGTTTAAACACTTTAGGCCAATTGGCCCGCCAATTGCCCCGAAATTCAGTTGTCTCCGGGAGTAGACTGAGGACAATGAACTGGGCCCAGTGAGGCCCCCACCCCTCGAAAACCCAGTTGTCGTGACAATTGGTGCCGTGTAAACGGTGTATAGGCCAATAGCACTGTCTTGTCTTTTGGCAGTCGTACCCTGATTCACTGTAAAATGCCTGGGCAAGAGTTGGCCACGTGTGAACAGGTTCTCGTTCAACTTGCCTGGCTTACGACAATTCCGCAACCACGTGATGACAATTGGCTAAGACAATTGGCTTGCCAACTGGCATCGTGTAAACCCGGCTTAAACTCCTTTGATTGGTAAGATGAAAGATAAACCATTCCAACCTAACTTTGCCAAATTGCAACATTTTCCTCTAGGCCTATTTCAGCTGTTCTAACAACTGTAAATGTTTACCTTTGGAAGCCCATGGACTAACTTAATTAAGTTTTCTGAAGTACTATACCTAAATACTGTTAGTCAGCAATAGCTGACAAGTTGAATACCGTTGAAGTTTTTCATTGTTTAGGTGAATTAACATTGGTCGGAGGCAGTAATGACCAGTTGGGCCGAGAGAATGCATCGCAGGGCCGCCACTTTTGGCAATGTTGTCACCTCGTGTGGACATCCATCAGTACCTTACCCTCGTAGACTCGAAAAGTATGTACACACTCTCAAATTCTTCATTTGTATTTTGAAACATAACCCTAATTTTGTAGATTAAATCTTTAGACAATCACCCTCCTGTTTTTATTTACCATGTCAGAAATTGTTCTTAGTGTAAAGAGGTGTATTTTTTATGGTTATTATAAATAATTAGGCTTAGACTAAAACTAATAACCAAATTTGTATTAGCCTATGTATCTTTTAAGTTAGGGCCTAAAACTTAGCAGTAATTTTATTGTTTAGACCTAGCCTAAATCTTGAAATAATGTTGGGTTTATTTATCATCATAGTATAACCTTAGTAAATGCAAGAAGTGCTTTTGTTAATCCTGTTGCGATAGACTTTTTCTTTAGGCAGAACGCAAGATTTTAACTTTTATGACAGCTTTGGTTAATACTAACACGCTAGGCTATAGCCTAGTGACTTGAAATCCCTCCAAACCCGGCTGTGTAATATGTTGACTGTAGGCCTACTTTGGGAAATCTGGATTTGTCTAGGTTTTTAGTTTTTGTGTAGGCCTAAACTAATTTCTCTTGTTCAAAGTTTGATTAATTACTGTTACAACCTGGCACGGTGGGATAGCCTATGTTATTTGTAAGTTTATGTTTTAAGAGTACCCTATTTAAGTTAGTTTTTTTTTTATTTTTTTTATTGGTTCTATTTGACTGCTAAATCATTTTAAACTTAAGGTTGGCCTATAGGCTTATCACATTTTTGTATAATAATTAGGCCTACTTACATTGTAACTTATTCTATGTGATGTGTTATAGAGTGAAATTTGGTGTTCCACTAGATGAAGTTTGTAAAAATGACATACCTGGACCATTATTAGTAAGTACAGTAGTAGCTTTATAGGCCTATTATATTTGTATAAGTTTATTGTATTAGTGGACTCTTAGATTTATTTTGCGTTTTAATGTTTGGAGAATGTTAACTGATGACACTGCTTTTCTAGAGCTATCTGTTCCCTAGCCTAAAACTTTGTTCATACCCTAACCATCACTATAGGCCAAATCATCAATAACAACAGGTTTTTTGGAAAACCGCTTAGTACCGTGTTTCAATGTTTCACTACAGTAGGGCACTTTTAGTAAAATGTATTTAATTCTTGACAACCTTAAACCTCTAGGTACCGCCTATATTGATGGCAAAATTTACAGGCTTACACCTATTGTTAAAATACTTTGTAAGTGGTAGCCGTATACGATAATTGATTTGTTTTTCAGGTATTAATTCTAAAACTGAACAAAGAAGCTCCATTAAAAAAAGATGTGTTCCGAGCTCCAGGACATCAAGGCAACATGAAGAAGCTTATTCACTTCCTCCAGACGGGGAGATTGGTAAACATTGACAACTTCTCAGTTTACACAATCGCCTCTGTGCTTAAGAAATTCCTCCGCAAACTTCCCAACGGAATCTTTGGTCGCACAAACGAACAACAGCTGTTTACAATAGTGCAGATGAACAGTGTAACTGAACAGCGGGACGAGATTTATAGGTGAGTCTGTGAAATGTATAAAGTACTCATATGGTCCTCTCATAAAAAAAGGGAAATACAATTTTTTTCATTTTTTAGAGACCTTGGATTTAATGGAATTTTTTAAGGCCTGGAATTTTTTAAGGCCTGGACCTTTTTAAGGTCCGTCCATTGATTTCATTGTGTTTTTAAAGTGATTTTGCCCACAGGTTGATCTCTTCGCTGCCGCTGCATACCCAACGTCTCCTCGTACTGTTGTTTGGAACATTCAGAGTGATCGCCACCAACGCTGAGCGTGCTCACACTGGGATGACATCAGAGGCTCTCGGAGTGTCAGTGGCTCCAAGCTTCTTCCAAAGCTGCGTCAGTGACGGCAAAACCGCCAAGATGGAGGACGTTCTGCGATATAAAGTGAGTTACTGAGCTTCGTCTAGTTTAGTGTTGTTTAGATGAACGTGTCAAGTGTTTTTTCCAAGCGGTGGCTGGTTAGTGAAAATTATGCTTCAGGGATTTAAACCTATCAGGAGCTAAGGCCATATTACACAATCTGTGAACAGTTGTCCCTTGATTATCCGGTCCTATGTAATCTGACATATTCAGTGGTCCGACGAGCCACCAATAGTCTTGTCAGCGGAGAAAAAACAAGCCTGTGACAATCCCTCTCTCTCCTAAGTTGTTATGTACTACTGGGTGTTTTTTAATGTACAACCCAAATTAAAAGTACTGTGTGACACATTTTAATGACAAAACAACCTTATATTTTGGTATAGGCCTACCAGTGTTCTTTACTTCATTGTTGATCAGCTGATTCACATCACACAACATTCACATCATGTTGCCACATAGGCAAAATTGTTTGTTCAGTGATACAAAATGCTTTTTTCATGACACTTTCAAAAGAAAGCCATATCACATGTTTTAGTTACAGCGGGGTGAAAATAGAGAAGTCTGTACATTTCATATTTTTTGTTGAGTTTTCAACCACTGGACCACCTCTAGTCTAAAATAGTCCTGTTCATAAAATAAAATTATAAATGCCTCAAACTCTAACAAAAGATGTACAGTTAAGAAGTAATTGAATTCTAAGCAAAATCTTTGACAAAAAGTTAGTGCCACCGGTAGGTTTCGAACCAGCTACGTCTTGGTTATCAGCCCAATGCTCTATCCACTACACCACGAACACCAATAGCAGCGCCATGTATTGTTGCTGTAATGGTGTTCATTACGTTCATTCAACCATCAAATTGATTGAATCGAACCCATTTGATCCAAATTTGTTCTGATAGTACACGGCGTTTTTGTACGAAAAAATTCTCACCTTTTCAAATAGCCTACAAAGTGACCTAATTTAAACATTTAGTGCACTATGAGATTAGAAATAGTCTTCCTACTTTTGCAATTGTTTTATGAGTTTGAAACGTCTAGGCTCCAAGGACTCTGAAGAACGATTATTTAAATGCAGGTAATATTAATTAACTCATCTACAAAACTGTTTTGCATTTAAAATATGTTGACAGTTATCGTTGACTTAAAGAAAATTCTTCAATTTACAAAGTGTTTAAAATCACACAGCTCCCTTAAAATATGCAGGCCTAGTAGGTATATTGTTCTTTAGTCAAGTTATTGTGTTCATGTTTATCAACTCAGTTTCAATGAAGTGTTTGTGTACCTATTAGTTAGGATGTGTTTGTCAGCAAGGATAGTGTGTACTGTCAAACTTAAAGTGACTTAATAGTTCTCTGTTAGTTGCACATTTGTGTTGTTTAACATTTTAGAATCGTTTTGCTTTTTGCTGGGCATGGAACATAAAAGAAGCAGTCTGTGAAGTGAACCCTCATCAGATCTAATTGGCAATCAGTTTAAATGTGATGTTGGCATGCACTCATGGTTACAACAGAATAACTTTAAATAGGCTACTAGTAGATGTAAGGACAAAATAATTATTTAAACTAATTATTTGGTACTTTTTACTACTAAGTAACATTGTCCAGAGAAAGGTTGGCTTGGATTTTTCCATTTAGTTTTTAGTTTATTATCATGTTAAGTGCACAGGGCAGGAAATCTCGAACCTCGGTATTGGCACTACTGGGACTTTGCGGTAAATGTCGTCCTCCCCTCATGCCAACAACCTTGCTTCAGTGTGAGCTCTGTGCCCCGCACGGGGGACGTTGTGTCTGATTTCCGCTTATTGTGCCAGTTTTAATCTTCTATCTAGTTTAATTCGTTTTCAAATCCGACTTTTTTATCGGTGGTAGGGACTGTTCCAAGTTTAGTGTAGTGGGTTTTGGCCTGCATTAGTGAAGCATTGTGGAAGGAACCTAACCTCAAAATTGTGCTTAATGCCTTTTTTGCGGTATTTTTTGATGCGCTATTCTGAACTATTTGTTAGGGAGAAAAGGTTACTGTACTTATTTAATTTTAAAAAATATGCATTCTATCCATTGTGTCCAGCCCAGCGGAAACCAAGAAAACTAGTAAAGGTTGGTGATTTTGGTGACCTGGAAAAAGCCTGTGAATTGTAATTTATTTTTGTATAGAACTGGGAAATTTGAAATAATGGCTAATAGCCTTTGGTCTAGCGATGATTATTTTATTATGTATTGTTTTATTGTCGGTGGCGGAAGCAATATAGGCCTACAGTAGAATCTTTATTAGGCCCAATTCACACAGATCGGACGTCAGGCGGAGACGTGGCACGGACGAGGCACAGACATGGCAGAGACGTGGCGTGTACAATGCACACAGAAGAGACAGTAAAGGGACGGTACAGTGGCGACATGACTTGTATGTAGACTAGACGCTTTGGTTTTTGCTTATTTCTTTAGTTATTAATGTCAATTGAATTAGTCATTTATGTCAGCTGAATTAGTTATTTCTGTCACTTAATTAGAACGACTGTGATCGTACCAACAAGGGAATTTTTCAATTCCCCCTCAAAATCTGTTATTGAATTCAATGTCGTCTCCCATTGTGGAAAGAAACAACTCACAATTACTCTAAACACAAAACAACAAACATGGTTGGTAAGTACAATATTTGCAGTCCGATCAACGGGTGCGCTACGGACATGCCACTTCCGATACGTCACGAGGGACGCCGAAGCGGTGGCGGGAGGGCGGCCGCCCGCTTGTGTGTGCATTGACCAATTTGTTTACATGGAGAGGCGAGGAAAGGGAAAGGACATATGTCCTTGCCTCGTCCGTGCCACGTCTCCGCCCAACGTCCGTTCTGTGTGAATTGGGCCTTAACTATCACCCTCAGGACCGGGAGCTTGACGGTTAAACAACTTATAGATGAATGACAGAAATCCGGTTATAAACATTTACTGTAGGTAAATTTAAACGATTTTTCAAGACATTAAGCCCTGGTTATTAAGCTCAAGGTCATTAACCGCGAACAGTCACGTTCAATCACAACGGCGCATACACTCTCTGCAATGCTGTGCGTGGCATACGACACATTAAGTACTGTAGCAGGTTGACGGATAACAGAGAGTGGCGGTTAAAAGGGTGACGGTTGATTGAGGTTCTAATTTATGTCCATTTTCTGTCATACAAAAACATTGTGAAACTTTTCCATGCAATATCACTGCATTAGCGACTAATCCAAACAATTTTATGATCGGAACAGGGTCAGATCTGAATTCCGATTATCGGTGTCTCTGGTGTGATTAATTTTCTCAGTTTTCCAACTTTTCCGCAAATTCGCCTTATATTTTTTCTTATATTGGATCAACATCAACTTGTGGCAGGGATAACTAAAATACTGATAATTAAAGCTAGTAAAAACACTTATTTGAGGTATTTCTATTCTTGTGTAAAAAGTTTTATACATGATTGTACATATTCTCTGTTTGCGTGCTTGGCTATTAGGCTGAAGTCCATGTAAGTAAAGCACTTGTATATACAATTAGTTTGCTTTTTGTTAGCATTAGCTAATCTTGTGTTTTATTTGTTGATTCTTTTAAACAATTCTTTTTGTTTAAGATAAAATTCTGATTTTGAATGTTTTTATTGATTGTTGTAGTGTTTAGAAGTTCAAAGTTTTATGAACATTAAAATGTCTATAAGTGTATAGTTGTTTATTTGAATTTTTGAGAGCCTATAGTTAATAAAAAGCCTTATTCAGACTTATTCTTTACTTACGTAGTTGACACTTAAAAATAAATTTAACTGTGAGGATCGTTTTATCTATGAGTTCTTTTGTACAAGTAAGATAAAAGATTTGTTTGTGATTGCTTCTGTAAAATTGACTCTAGATGTTATCTAATTGAATAATTTTATGTCAAGGGTAGTAATTTAATCTATTTTTGTTGTTTTAAGATAATCATCGTTTGTGTTAGGGATCTATTTGAACTCCCAGAGAAAATCTTCGCTAAACTTGGTATCATAGAAGCCATTGATGAACTGATTAGACACTTTTGTTATTTTACCGATTTTGGTATTTTACAGAAAATTTGGAAACACGCTTATCAAACGATTTACAGTTTTACGTGTTTTCTGTCTGGTTGACCAGCGTCTACTTCGATTTAAAAGTTCTTCATCTAAAACGTTTGGCTGAAGATTTGTATAAAGTTTTTGTAGATCAAGTAGTGAGTTGCTTGTCTCAATTGTATCCAACATTGCACTAAAATGGCGTAGCGTGTTTACCCTCACAGTAATTGAAACTTCAAACCCTACTTGTGTGTTGTAGGTTGCGACAAGAATAATGAAATTCCTCATTGACAATTTTGGCGAGTGCAATCTCTTTGGTCGACCCAACTATGAGTTCTACGCAAGAATTACGGGTAGGATACTAAAAGTCGAGGATGAGTGGATCTTCAGCTTCAGATTTCCTCCCGACAATGTGGGCCGTAAGTATCAACATAAAATTTTTATTTGTACAATATATGTGACTAAGCGTGATTTAATTGTTTCATATTTGTACAGTTGTGAGTGCTACAATTTGTTAAATAGACAAAATGATTACGAAATCAATTAACAAAATTGACATGGAAATTTTAATTGTGTTTCAAGTAAGAGTGTATTCTGTATTTCATAGAATAATCTCATTATTGTTCTGAGGCTCGACTTGCTCTTTTAGGGCATTTGAGCACTTATTTTTTACAAATCAATTTTAATAATCCATTTTCGCTTTAAAATACATCTACATATTCTTTTTTTGTGTATGTTATCTTATGGTCAAAGTCAGATTTAGATGCAATTTAAGTGTGATTTAAAAATAATAAATTATGGTTTTCAGGTCAAGTTGCACTCGAGAATGAGAAAACCTGGTTGCAGTTTGAGTGTGAAAGATGGGGGTTGAAATTCAACTTGGAAAGTGAGTTAATACTAATGTTAATGACTTTGGTTTTTGGGTAAATTATGTTCAGAATAAGCAACTTACAAAATTGCCTATGACTGTAAACAGTAAACTACTCTTCCCTACCGCCACTTTAGCTAATATTTAATATGTCATTGACATGTAATATGTCATGGACTTGTCAAAATTGTTGACAATCGAGTTGTTGACTAATTTCTCGAAGTATTCAATTGAATATTGTATTGCAGTAAAACTTATTATTTTGTAAAATTTTTAGATACTTAAAAATCAAGCTGTTTAAATAGTGATAATATTGCTGATTTTGGCTGGTGACTCAACCGAGCTAGGCGCCTATTTTCATTTTCGGCCTGTACCAATCCCTTGGTCCAACTGATTACACAAATCATGGGACCTGCAGACCAGGGTTGCCGACCGTCCTGATTCTGTCGGGAGAGTCCTGATCTCGAACTTTTTTTCCCGTATTTATGTCTGTGTTTATCTTGGGGGAGGAGGGATTGTCCCGTTTTATCCCTAACCAAAGATGGCAACCCTGACCCAGACCTGTAATAAAAGGTATACTGGCAACCAAATCAGGTTTTGCTTCCGTGAAAAATGTTCTGAATTTTTCTTCCAAAGTTCTGTGGTCACCCTTGGAATAAGATGGTGTAATAAATAATCTATGTCTAATCTATGCCTACCTTATTTCATATACAGTTTAACTAACATATGTTTATGGATTATTATGATTTTTTGTAAACAGTCAAATAAATACACATCTTTTGTGAAGTCCTAATAGTCTTTTATCTTGTCTGTCTATAATATTTTAACATTGGTGCCGAAACCCGACTTATAAATCATGTCAAAAAATATGTCAATCCGAAAGTCAGGGAGAGAGAAACACCCTCCAAATAGATATTCCCCAGAAAATGCAAATGACAAGAATGATGAACCCATAGAAGGAGATAGTCAATCTCTAAAACCACCTTCTAAGTCAAAAACCAAATCTTCAACTTCCAGCAAGCGCCGGTTAGTTCAACTGCAACTAGAAGAAATAGAAGAAATAAACAGGCTTGAGAAAATACACGAAGAAAGGGAGTTGCAACGGCTGAAAGAATTTGAAGAAAAGGAGATGGAGCGTCAAATGCAGGAACAACAAAGGCGAAGAGAGGAGAGGGAAATGGAACGACAACGTCAAGCTGAAGCAAGAGAACTAGAACGACAGAAGCGTCTGCTGAGAGTAAGGACCGAACTTGAGTCTGCTTCAGTCTTGGGAAGTAGTCAGTCCGCCTCAGTCTTGGGCAGTCGTCATTTGGAATTGGAAGATAATGAAGACCCTGACAAGGTAAGCTTCAATATTGCTACTGTTGAGGAGGACTCTAATGTCAAAGTCAATAGGTGGCTGAATGAGGAACCGTCAGTTCCTTTGACATCGTCAGCCATCGTGTCCACGGCTATTGATAAACTAGCTGACTCCTTTTCAAAAGCTATCAATTTATCTAACCCCAACCAACCTGTCTCTTGCCGACAGCGTCTTCCATCCTTCAGCGGGAAACCAGACGAATGGCCCATGTTCTATTCCTGTTACAATAAGACTAAACACCTTTTTAATGACGATGAAAACCTTGACAGAATAAGAAATTGTCTGGAGGGAGATGCCTTTAAAATGGTAAAACCTCTATTTATATCAGGTAAAAATTTGAGTACAGTAATGAAAACTTTACAAATGCGTTTTGGACGTCCAGACTTTATAGTCGAGTCAATGTTGAAGAAGGCGCGCATGCTCCAACCAGTCAAGGAGGATGACGCTGTCAGCCTTATTGAGTTTTCAACAACTCTTTTAAACCTGACCTCTACCGCAGAGTCGTTGGATTTGGAAATGTACCTAATAAATCCTCTCTTGTTGAATGAACTTTTAAGTAAGCTCCCCTATACCCTGAAGTACAGGTGGGCTGAACATGTAAATAGCATGCATTTAGAAAAACCTACTGACCTGAAAGTATTCTGTAACTGGCTTGAAAATCAGTGTTCCATTATGAGTATTTATTTTCGTCCACCCGAGGAGACAACGCGGAAGAGAAGTGACCCTAAACCAGTTTTTACTAATTCGCCCAATGAAAACGTTTGCATGTTTTATTCGGAGAGTCACGAAACCGATAAATGTAAGCTTTTCAGAAAAGCAGAAGTCGCGCAGCGGTGGAAGATGATAATTGAGAAAAAACTGTGTTTCTTTTGCTTCCGTCGTCACCACATCAAATTTTGTAAGTTAAAGAAACCTTGTGGAATCAATGGGTGCAAATTATCCCACCATCGCCTTCTGCATACTGACAGTGCCTCTAAAAATTCCCAAGAAATCAGCCGGGACAGAGCACAGAACACTTTCAGGCAGGAAGGTCAATCGAAAGAAGAAATTATAAGCAATCACTCGGTAAATAACCGTGTTTTACTAAGAACATGTCCAGTAACGTTATATGGTCCAAGCTGTCAGATCGACACATATGCACTTTTAGATGATGGTTCAACCATATCTCTGCTAGATTCGACTACTGCCGATAAATTAGGCATCAGTGGTAGCATTGAACCCCTTACCACTTGTTGGTCAAATGCAACTAAACATTTTGACCCAACGTCCAGACGAGTTGAACTTAAAATAAAAGGGTTCTATGAAGATGAAATTTTCACATTAAGTAATGTAAGAACTCAATCACCTCTAGATTTACCCCAACAGTCGATTGACTCAGTAAAGCTTCGTGAGAGATGGCCTCATTTAAAGTCAATCGATCAACCTTTACCAACATCTCATGTTAAACCTACCATTTTGATAGGTCAAGATAACTGTGACTTGTTATTGACCAGAAAAGTTATTGAAGGTCCGCCAAATGCTCCCGTCCTGTCATGGAGCTACCTAGGGTGGTCAATGCATGGCAAGTGTCCAGAATTTACTGGACGTGTTGACGATTTCACCCTATTGTCCTTTGATCACGACAGATTACATGATTTGGTGAAAAGTTCCTTTGAAATTGACAACTACGGTGCATCTCCAGTAAAAAACAAATCAATAAAATCGGTAGAAGACGAACGTGCAATGTCAATCTTGGAAAAAACAACGAGGAAAATCGGAGAACGTTATGAATCTGGCTTGTTGTGGAAATCAGATGATTTTAAATATCCCTCGAGTTACGATAAAGCTCTTAAAAGACTAAAACACATTGAAGGGAAGATGGCAAAGGATCCTTCCTTTAAAGACGAATACACAAGGAAGATTGCCGACTACAAGGAAAAAGAGTATATTCGAAAACTAAGTGAAGATGAGGCAAGTATTTTAAATGATCATACTTATTATCTACCTCATTTCGGAGTTGTGAACCCCAATAAGCCCAACAAATTAAGATTGGTCTTTGATGCAGCTGCAAAGTCGAACGGTGTATCATTTAATGACGCTCTTCTTAGTGGACCTGACCTTTTGAATCCATTACCAGCTGTTCTCGTAAAATTTCGTCTGGGAAAATTTGCTGTCGCTGGTGATATTAAGGAAATGTTCCATCAGGTACGCATAAGGAAAGAAGATGTAGATTCACAGAGATTTTTGTGGAGGCAAAACACGAATGATCCTCCAGATACGTATGTAATGGAGGTGATGACATTTGGGTCGACCTGTTCTCCAAGCACTGCTTTATATGTAGTGAACGAAAATGCCAAACGTTTCTCATCCATCTACCCTGAAGCTTCTAAATCAATTCTCACTAAGGAATACATGGATGATTTATTAGACTCTGTCAATTCTGAGGAAGAAGCAAAGACTCGAGTGAAAGAAATAATGGAAATTCACAAATCAGGTGGATTTCAAATGTGCAATTGGTTATCAAACTCCAAAGATGTTTTATCTGGAATTCCTGAAGAACTGAAATCAAATTCAACTAAGCAATTAAAGCATGATAGCAATCTTCCCACTGAACGAGTTCTCGGAATGTGGTGGGATTCAGAAAGCGACAATTTCGTATTTCATCGCAATGCAGAAAAGTTGCAAAAAATGGAATCAAGTTATCCAACTAAACGTGAGGTTTTGAAGGCTGCGATGTCTATCTTTTATCCTTTGGGACTAGTCACCCCTACTACAATCAAAGGTCGAATATTAGTGCAAGAGATTTGGAGAACAAAAACAACATGGGATGAAGTACTAACAACAGGACTTACTAAGAAATGGCAAGAATGGTTGGAAGAAGTTAAACAACTACAATATTTTACCATTCCGAGATGCTATTTCAAAACCCTTATGATAAATGATGTTGAGCTTCATGTCTTTGTCGATGCAAGTGAAGAAGCGTACTCCGCTGTTGGATATCTAAGACATAAGAATACTAACGAGAATACTGGATACAACACTATGTTGGTTATGTCGAGAGCAAAGGTTGCTCCTCTAAAACCAACTACCATACCAAGACTGGAACTACAAGCTGCTGTCCTTGGATGTAGGCTTGTTAAAACAATTATACACGACCTAGACATCAACATCGTCCGAAAAATATTTTGGTCAGATTCTGTTACGGTGTTACATTGGATAAAATCTGATCCGAGAAGCTTTAAACAATTTGTTTCTAACCGACTTGTGGAAATACTTGAAGTTTCACAAGCTGATGAATGGAAGTGGGTACCATCAAAAAATAACCGTGCTGATGTCGCTACGAGAAGCAACCAGAAATTCACTACAAGTAATCATGAATTTTGGACTTATGGCCCCGAGTTTCTAAAATACGACTCAAGTCATTGGCCTCAGCAACCGACAACCTTGCAAACAAAAAACAGCGAAGAGGTGAAACAAAAGTTCGTTGGGTTACTCAACGAAGACAAAGAAGACGTTATCAATATTGAGAGATTTTCTTCCTGGAATAAGGTAACACGAGTAACTGCGTGGGTTCTGAGATACATTGGTATATTGCAATCCAGGATCAAAAGAAATGACAAAGACAGACAGAAGAAGAACTCTAACCCCAGATTGATACTGGAACTTCAACCAGATGAAATTCTTAAGGCTGAACACATCTTAGTGTTGAATTCCCAAGACAAAACTTTTAAAGAAGAAAAGACCTTATTAAGAAATAGCAAGTCACTACCGAAGTCAAGTAAAATATTCACATTGGATCCTTTCGTTGACGAGAAAGACCTCATCAGGATGTCTACAAGAATACGAAATTCTCCTGAAATCAGTACTGAACGAAGATATCCAATTATTTTAGATGGAAAATGTCAAGTAGCAAGACTTATTGTGAAGAACTTCCATGAAAAATGCTTCCACCAAGGAATAGAAACCGTAATGAACATGACAAGAGAACGGTTTTGGATACTTAATCTTCGCACAACAGTGAAGAAAGTGCAAAGAAGCTGTATGCGTTGTAGGATTGACAACGCCAAACCAAGTCCACCTCAAATGGCACCCCTGCCAATGTCACGAGTAGTCAAGGCACAGTATCCTTTCTTTTACACTGGTGTTGACTATTTTGGCCCAATTGAAGTAACTGTTGGCCGAAGACATGAAAAGCGATACGGTGTAATATTTACATGCCTTTCTACACGAGCAATTCATCTCGAAGTGGCTCATTCGTTAAGTACGGAGAGTTGCGTTATGGCAATTCAAAGGTTTATAAGTCGGAAACCTTGCCCTTCTGAGATGTTTTCTGACAATGGTACGAATTTTGTAGGAACAGACAATGAACTTCGAAATGCTGTTAAGTCTTTAAACAACGCCCAGATTCAACAGACAGTCGTAAAGAGTGGGATTAAATGGAATTTCATTCCTCCCCGTGCGCCACACATGGGGGGATGTTGGGAGAGACTGATAAGGTCAGTAAAAACAGCATTGAAAAGTGTCATGCGATCCCAGTACCCGAAAGATGAAGAACTGCAGACGTTTTTGACTCGCGTGGAGTTTATTATTAACTCACGTCCACTCACACACTTATCAATTGACCCGTTGGACCCTGAGCCGATCACACCAAATCACTTTCTACGCGAAGCCTACAAAATAAATATTGATGAAGATAAACTATGTAAGAAACAACTAGCCCGCGTAAGAACACTTTTGGATAGTTTTTGGAAGCGTTGGGTCCAAGAATACCTGCCCTGTTTATCAAGACGTTGTAAGTGGCACAAACGAATAGAACCGCCTCAAGTAGGGGACTTGGCTATAATAGTAGAAGAAGACAATCAAAGGAATTCATGGCCTCTTGGAAGAATATCAGCCATTTACCCCGGTAAAGATGGCGTTATACGAGTTGTGGACATCAAAACAACCAAAGGTACATTCCGGCGCCCTCTTACCAAGGTCGCAGTTCTTGGGGGGGAGAGAATGTAATAAATAATCTATGTCTAATCTATGCCTACCTTATTTCATATACAGTTTAACTAACATATGTTTATGGATTATTATGATTTTTTGTAAACAGTCAAATAAATACACATCTTTTGTGAAGTCCTAATAGTCTTTTATCTTGTCTGTCTATAATATTTTAACAGATGGTTAGCTATAAAAATAATATTTTTTATAATTAAACACCAAATGAATGGAATGGGCACACGGAAGGGACTAAGGCTAAAGGTGTAGTGACGTCATATCTCTAGTGGTTAATGTCTTCTCTTGAGGCGACACGATTACCGTAACGAAACGAAGTGATTGCAGCGGCGTTCGTGGCATAGTTGGTAGCATTTCGGATTGGTGTTCAGGAGGTCCGGGGTTCGAAACCCGCCGGCAGCACTAACTTTTTGTCAACAAATTTTTCATATCAGCAAGTTTGGTTGGTTAGGTTAGGTTATGACAGTTTAATTTTATAATACTAAATTTTAAAATTAATTTTATAATTAATTAAAAATTATAAGTAATCATTAATTAGATTTTTATCTTATATAGTTTTTATATTATCAGCAAGTCTGGTTGGTTAGGTTATGTTATGACAGTTTAATTTTAAAAATTAAAAATTAATTTTATAAATAAAAAGTTAATTTTATAACAAAAAATTAAAAGTTAATTTACATTTTTTCAACTTAGCAGTCCTAGCGGCGAACGCTGACACTACAAGATATGTTAGCCTTAGTCCCTCCCGTGTGCCCCACCGCCAAATGAATGACATCAAATAAGTAAAATAATATATGTAATCAGTTGGCTTAATATGCTATCATGATGTGTTGTGTTACAGCAATGTCCCACCAGGAGGAGAGTCAGTCTACACCAGCTCTCATACATGTACCTGAGGCTCTAGACGAGGCTATGGGAACCTCTCTAGGTATGATACCTGAAAACAACCTGCTGGAGAGCTGTACACGACTGTCTATCAGCCTAGAGGAGAACGGTTTGTTTAAGGTGAGGACTAAGAATAAACATCCTGATGTGGTGGAAGTTTTACCCCAATAACGCTAGAATTTTTAATGATTTCTCTTAGGGATATATGGGTCTTGAAATTTGGGAAGAAATATATTCCTGATCTTTGGGCGGGACTGCACACACTAGAGATTTCCTCAGGAACTTTGTTCTATCTTCTTCTATCTATATAAATAAAATTAGAGTTTTGTCTGTACATTGCTCAGAATTATATATTTTTAGGTTATTTTTACGTTTTATAAATTAAAGAAGCAGAAACAAGTCTTATCTCTATTTCTGTCTGTCTTTCTGTCTGTCTGTAACACTCAAGGTGGTATTTTACGCTATCTTCTCCAGGAAAACGAAAGTACCTATCAAGATCCAAGTCATTTTAATGTATTCACTGGATTGGCGAGAGTGTCTTTAGCCATTAAAATATGACTTCACTACTTTGTAAATAAAATCACGGACATTCAAAAATGCAGTTTTGTGCGATTTTTGTCAATTTTTGTCCAATTTTTATTACATAATCCTCTATGGATAGATAACGAATAGCTGTTCGGATCAAGATTATTTTCTCTAGCCGCCACTGATATGTTTACCAATATTGTTTACAAATACCACAACCATTTTCGACCACGTTTTGAAAGCAAATCCCAACCAAGTGAGTTTAAAAACGTTTTTCTTACATAACGGATTTAATTAATCGCAAGTGCAATAATATAGTGTAACAGTAAATGAAATTAAATAACTAGGCATCATCCAGGTCAGGAACCAGAGATTCTTTGTGTATAAAATTGTTCTTGAGTTTTGATAACCAGAAAGAAGACCTTGAATCAGTGTTGTATAGGGCTCGGAAACTTAAATTTATTAATGATCGTCGCCAATAGCTTAGAAACAAGGTTTCCACTCATTGACGGCGCTTCAATGGTGGTTGTGTAAAGTGCAAAGTAAAAAATCACAACTGTGGTGGGTGATTGTAACAGAGGTTTACGGATGATGCTAAACTCATCTGCTTTTACAATGTGTCACTTTCTGTTCCTAACTACTGTTCTTAATATAAGAAGGTTTAAACTTACTACGATAAGATCCCTGTGCGTAGAACGGGCACACAGCTAGGTTGTAAAAAATGGGGTGGTGGCAGACCGGGAATTATATAGGATTTTTGAAATTTCACCCGAAAAACCTGATTTTAGTCTGCAGCTATAAATCAAGAATGTCTTCCGTGATCATGGCAAAATCGTAAACACCTTCCAAGGTCTTGGCAAAATTGAGAAAACCTTCCATGGTCTCAACAGAATCATGGACATCATCTGTGGTCACAACAAAATCGTCTTTCCGTGGTCACAGTAAAATCGAGAGTATTTTCTGCGATCCACGCAAAATCATGAACATTGTCCACGGTCATGGCAAAATGGTTATCATCTTCCAAGGTATATGGCAAAATCATGAACATCTCCAACTTGCAGAAGTATTAGAAAAATTTGCTCTGTCTGTCTGGGACCCAGGCTTGGCCCGATAATCATTTTCGGTCGATACTGATCCCTCATGCGCATTGTATGCCGACCTGACCTGAAAATATGGGTCCCACAGATCGGTAGTAAAATGTACACTTGGTAAACAGGAATCACAACCGGGAAAAGTGCTTGAACCTTCACATAACTTAAACTATCTTGCCTAGTTTACCCACCATTACATAGGTATCACCTCCAATGAATCATCAAAACAAACATTTTCTGTACAAAATATATTTTCTCCAGTGCTGCCAGTCCTTCAAACACCTGAGCTTTTTCATGTTGGTCAGTAGCGCTGGCCTGCCAAATGGCACAGTCAACCAAAGTTAAATTAATGCGAGCTGTTGTGCTTAGAGACCTTAGAGGCTAGCGGCGATCCTGGATTATTTCATAGACCTGTTGAAATGTTATTTATCATCCAAAATATTGCTTTCAAATACCAAAGTGGTTGTAATTTAAATATCTAATGCACTGTGGTATCAGAAATTTTCTTTGTAGTTTTTTAATTGTTCCAAGTGAGTCCATGGAGGCTAATAAGAGTCCATGGTGGGGATTTGCCCACCATAAGAGCAATGTTAATTTTGTTAATTTCAAACAGCCACTGAAGAGTTATTTACCATCTCAAAATATTTGTTCACCTACCAACGTAATCGTAATTTAAATATCTAGTGCACTATGGGATTAGAAATTTTCTTCCTACTTTTGTAATTAATTGTTTATGTATGTCTAGGCTCCAAGGTCTCTTAATACCTCTCCAGCCTCTAATAATTTCCTCTGGGACTCTAACCATCGGTTTTATCAGCCATTATTTTTTTTCTCCCTGTCTATGCTGCTGGCATTTTTTTAGAGGAGATAAGATAGTTCAGAGTGTGTGTTATTCAAACACTTTTTGGGGAAATGGTCCAAACACATTTTTTGTGGATGTGCCAGGAATCAAATCCGCCCCTCTCCTTAAGTCCTAAGTCCACTATGTTAACAACACACCTTATATGTACACACAACACAACAAAACTAGTACTCCTTTATAGTCAATTTGTCTTAATAACCAATCTAACTTGTCATTAACTGCTCTATTCCTTGTATTGAAATGTAAATTCATCTTGAGAGTTGCATTAATCATTCCAGGGTTCGAGTAGGTCGAGTTCCAGCAGTGCAAGTCACCATCATATGACGTTGGATGAACTCCGAGCTGTGAACCGATACGCGGAATCCACCAAGAGCCTTTCCTACCTGCCTCAGGTAAATGCCTAGAGATCGCTGTCGTGTTGCATTTTGTGCATGGAAGATTGAAGTTTTGTGTTTTGAGATGCGTGTTCTACTAACAGACTTAGTTAACATGATGTAATTTTAGTGCTTGCATTTTGAGTTAATGAACTTCTAGTATGTAGGCCTAATGTTTTGTTGTATCGAGAAATTTATTTTCAGTTGTTTAATTGTTAATTGGATTATGGAAGATTTAGATTGATTTTATTAAAGGTTTTCTGTAAGAAATATAATTGATTTTTTTTAGTTTTAGTTGATAATATTTATAAATTTTTTTTGTGACTGAATTTTGTTCAATTAGGTAATTAAAAGTATTTGTATATAATACAGTAAAGTACTTAACTATTTGGAAGATGTTGGAGTAATTTGTGTTTTTTGTTTTCAATGATGCATATTTTCTGCCAGGCCTATCAGCCTGCATCTTATTAGATAATTTTATATTTTTTATAAGATGTGAGATTAAATTATTTTCCCAACAAATTAGTTTAAGGTTAAAATCAAGTAAAGATCAGGAAAAAATATTTTGGTACACAAATCTACGTTAATTTTTTTTTTATCATTGTAAAATTATTATTTTTAAAAGTACCCAAACAAAGCATGGTTACAGGAGGACTGTTTACTGCTTTAAGTAATAGTATGCTAAAGTGAAGGCTGTTCTAATGCTACGTTGCTGTCAAATAATTTTCACAGGGTTGTCAGCGACCAGATTAACCATTGACTTAGGATACTGTAAGAAGTCATCCCCTTTATGTATAAGAGATACAGCATTACTTTTGGGTTCTGCAAGTAGACATTCCATTATTTATGTGAACCATAGGTACGATTGAATTAGGATCCAGCCAGGAGACATCTCATTTACGTGAACTAGATTTAGCATTGACTTTAAAAGTTTTAATTACATGGTGTCTACTCTCCGGGAAATTCGGGAAAACCGGGAAACCTCCGGGAATTTTATCTTACCTTGAAATGTCCTGGAAAACTCCAGGAATTCACCCACACCTCCCGGTCATCGGAATCGTCGGCTAACTGAAACACTACCCCTTTTGTTGCCGCGATCGCGGGAAACGATTATCGATGGCTCCAAAACCGCAAGATATGCTCACGGGTATTGGCGCGATCGTAGGAGACGATTATTGATGTCGCCGAAACCACATGATATGCTCACGGGTATTGCTGCGATCGCAGGAGACGATTATCGGTGTTGCCAAAAGTGCAAGATATCCTCACAGGTATTGCCGCGATCGCGGGAGACGATTATCGGTGTCGCCGAAACCGCAAAGTATGTACAACAAAAGAAACTTTTAAAAAACTTTTTATAAAAAAAAAGTTTTTTATAAAACTTTTTATAAAAAAAAAAGTTTTTTATAAAACTTTTAAGACATTGATGATAGGCTATGGTTAAATTAATCAGGTTTAGATTTATTAATCATAATCATAAACATGATTTATCGATAAAATTGTCAATCATGGAGTAATCCTCAATTTCGGCAATATTGTTGTTATCTCCCATGTTCTCGGAGACATCAGCGAAATCCTCAACATTTCCTGCAATTGCGGAGGCATCACCTCTCACATTAGCTGCAAAATTGTGCGGATCCCCCTCAATGGTGGAGACATCATTGTTACTTGCGATTGTCGTGAATTTGCAGACAGAACCAATTCTTAACTCTAGTAGGGATCTACGTAGGTGCTTTGACATGACCTACGTTTTTATATTATCCTAAAAAAATGGCCAGAATCTTAAAACTCTCACTTGAGTCAAGTGTGTGATAGAGAGTAGCGGTTGTGGTTGTACAGGTCCACGAGAGACAAGCAGCGCGAATGAGAACCAGATCCGAGTGGTTCCTCAATCCTCCGAGTCGTCTAGCCCACTCCATGGACTCCGACCCCTCCATCCATGTTCTCCGAGGATCTAACAGCCTGAGTTCCGCCACCAACATTGGTAAGCTCCGACCCACAGCGACTCTTGCACACTCTTTTGGTCGTTTTCTATTAATTCACGACCAGATATTTTAAATTTAACTGTGTTAATTTCCGCAAGGTTTGGGTTAGGTTAGGTTACAATCTTGGGCATTGCCTTTGACTTTTTTATACCGAAGTAGACATCCCATTCAGTTGTAGTCAAATGTTCTTTGGTCCTTTCCTTTTCTGTCTCCACCAGACTGTTTGAATTGAACTGTATTAATTACCGCTAGTTAGGTTTGGGAAAGGTTATGTCAGTCTACTTGGTCATGGAAATATTTTAGTTAAAATCCAATCAGACAAATTGAAATTAACTTATTCTGCAGGTTTGCTGCAGTGAGGGAATTTTTTGTTTTAAAACGCACTATTTCAAATTTGTTAGAATTTGACAATTCATTAATTCTTGTAAACTGGCAGCCAGTGTAGCTCCCCACAAAGCTATAGCCAGCGATAAGATCTATGCCAAGATAAGAAATTAAATCATTGAAAAAAATGTGGAACAGGTCCTTTTTGGTAGTACGGCATGTTAAATAGTGGTGAATTAATAGAAAACAACAAAAACATCTGTTCTTAAGGAAAAAGAGCCACTCTTTTATTACGACTGAGTTCTGGAAAAAAACAAATTTTCTATTATGAGTTAAAAGTTCATAGATTACAATGTTTTATACTGTTACATAACAGTTTTATACTGTGGTTATTATTGTTGTATGTAAATTATATTTAAGAACGTTATTTTCTGTACAAATTATATTTAATTGTTTAAACATTTAATGTCCCAACCTGTACATTGCTAGATTTTATCTTTGTGTCCTTTCATTTAATTTTTGAAATGTTTTTCAAGTCTATCAAACAGAAAATCAAATGTTTTTTTTTTCAATTGCCTACCTTGCTAGATCACTCTTGAGTAATAGAAAATGAGTCGATTGCACATAAACACATAAATATGCTTGAGACTTTTAACTAAATAAGTAAATATAAAGTGGTTGAATTAGAATAGTAATATTTTAAAAATTATGTCTTTATATTGATTGCATTTGGTTGTTTTTCTTTGTATCTATTTGATGAAGGTTTGGGTGCTTGTGATGGTGGGTTATTGGGTTAGTTATTTTAATTGTAGTTATATATAAAATGATTGTCCTTATACTAACCTATATTTATTTTAAATGGGAAATTTGCTTATAGTGGTGGTGCATGATTTTTCATTCTTGTTGGTGCATTGGAACTTAAGAAGCCCTTGATTGGGGGTTCCTATGGTGAACAATTCAAATTAGGATTACTTTTTCATTTTTGTGGTTATTTAGTGTTATTCTAGATGTACTATAAGCGTTTATAGGCGTGCTATGGAAACTAGGTATTTTAAGAAAATTTCTTTACTTCAATACTGTTTTGTTATAACTTCTGGCCTCAATTTTTTTACAGTAGACTCCCCCTAGTTCGGCCACCTCGGGACCGGACCACTGGCCGGACTACAAAACGGCCGGACTAACCGGATGCAGTAGAACCTTAATTATCCGGGGTAATGGTGGGGGGGGGGGGGGGAGACCACGGATAACTGAAAATCCAACATGGCATAAACATATTCCCATAAAACACCTAATACTGTATAAAATGGACGTTGATGTGATAATTAATTTGCATTTTACTTTTACAGGTTTAGTCTGTAGAGTACACATCCACACACTCACACAAAGAGATCACTTTGAAAACCACTCTTTTGGGTTCAGGGGGACCCATAACAAATTATTATATCCACCCAAAGCTCAAACTAAAAATGTTTACAAAAACTATATTTTCCCCATAGGCCTACTATGAATGTATATTTGGGGAGAAAATAAAAACGCTAATGGCATAAAACAAAAAGTTGGAATATTTTATAAGGTATTCACCCCAACATATTTGTTTAAACTTTTGAATCACCCCAATACCTCTAGAACTGGATTATTCAACCCTTCATAAAAATTATTCATTCTAATAAAATGTAAATGTCGGGGAGTGAGCTGTTGTAGTGGTGGGAACGGGGCTACAGACTCTGTGGTACAGGGTTCAAATCCTGCCAATCATCAATGGATTTTTTTTGTGTGATAATGCCGCAAACTTTAAGCCTAGCCTGAAGAAATGTAAAAAAAAACTATCCCAGGGTTAGGGCCTAGTGTCCTCGTAAAAGTGGGACAACAAATTTCTCTTGAAATGTTTTACACTCAAGTGTCATTGTTGCAGGAGCTGGGGCTGGATTGAGTGCGAGCGCAGAATCAGTCTCCAAGCGACCGAGCGTCCGACGAAACTCTTCCCGCTCTAGACACAACCGTGGCTCTCGGCGCAACAAGGAGAATGGCGCAAACAAACCTTTGTCCAGAACCTCACACGAGCACGATGCTCCAACCTCACAAACCATTCATGTTACTCTAACCTACAAACCTCGGATTTAGTGGAGCTGAATTTGTCTCATACCTGTCTTCTCCTCATTCATCAGATATTTTTAGCCTCATTTTAAATTCACAAGAGACATGAGAACAACTTTTAATCCTTTAGACTGTTGACTGTGTTAAGATATTTGTTTCATCATTGATTTGTTACACAAAATTTGTTATCGGTTTTGTCGTTTAGCAAGGTCAATTGCGCCTCTCATAAACTGTTGTGATTTTGTAAGATTTTATAAATATTCTATTATTGTTGACTGAATTTTGTAAATTTAAAATAGCAGAAGGTGTTGATCGTGTGTTGCTAAGTTTTATATGTATTGTGAAAGCTGATTTTGTAGTCTCAAGATTTGATTGTTTTGTAACATACATATTATCAATATTTTTCACTGAAACTGTAGTATTCCTTTTTTTTCAACTGCAAAATTACACAAGCAAGTTTTTAGTTAAATAATAAAAATAATGGTTTAACCACACAATGTGATTTTAATAGAAAAAAATAAACGTTTTACTGCAAGTAAAAGATTTTCTCCTGTTGATAAACAGATTGAGCATTTTTCTTTAATTAGTGTACCAACCCAGCTACAGCAATAGGTAGCTAAAAATTTCACCAAACTGTGTTTTAAATTACCTAATCATTATCTCATTAACACATTCGCTGCGGGTGGCTCGGACTCGGGACACGCGTAGCGTCCTGAGCATGCGCATGTCCCGGGTCCGAGCCATCCAACCTTGTTAAACAAAAGCAGCCGGTATGAGTCTAGTGTTTGACGGAGAACGTTACTACTTGCTGAGCGTGGTCTGTAAATACAATAGAAATCTGTTTTTGCCGCCGCTCCTTAGTTCGGGCGCGCTCCAATTTTTTGCGGATTTTTAAGTTCGGGCTTGCCTTAATGTTAGTTTGAGCTTGTGTTTGGACTTTTTTTATGTATTTAAATTTTTGTTTCTTAGACTAAACTTTGTAAATTGTTTCTTAGGTTGGTAGTAAATTTTCCCGTAAAATCCCCGTCTGGCAATCTCAAAAATCTACTTTTTGTCCCGTCTTTTTGTCCATTTGGCAATACAATTCCAATGGGACCGGCTACGTTCCAAGCAGTGCTGCTATCTGTGGGTGTTTAGCGAACTATGTCGACTCTCGTTGTAAAGCAGGACATCACCACACGTTATTTGCAATTCGTTAGACCAAAATTGGAAAGCCAATTACAAGCGGCAATCGGGCTTGTTCGGCGCTGAGGGCTGCTCCACACTGAGATACGCCCGCCATTTGACGTGCCGCAGCGAATGTGTTAAGTTCTTCCATTGCTATACTTTGTGTATGGATTATAAAAGCTACTAGTCCTCTTTTGTTTTAATTAAATTACATCGAATCAAATTCACTTACACTTTTTGATCCCTTGAACCCTCTAAGACTGTTTTATACATTTATTATTACACAGTTTCATTAGGAAGAAATGTTTTATTAAATATGTAAGTGAACATCATTTTCAGTGAAATTGCCAGATTAGTCTCTTTTTTAGAAGCCAATTCATATCTTTCCATTCCAAATTTTGAAGTTTGTGGTTGTCAGGTGGCTTGTTCTTCCTTCGACCCATTTTGTGCACAACTTTCTGTACTTAGATAGTTTTTTGGACAATTTTCTAATCTTTCGGGTAAAAGTTCCTGTTTCTGAGCTTATTGATATTTTACATACTCTTTCAAGATTTAATTAGTTCGCTCATCTTTGAACTTGAAGTTTTTTTATGTCAAAATTTACATCCAAGAATTTAGTGGTACTTTTATAAATTTATTGTTAATATTTGATGGTTTAAAGCTTAAGATTTCATGTTGTAAAATGACAATCTTTGAGATTGATTTAATATTCAGATTACATTTTGTTTGAACGAACATTAGTAACAACAGGTACCTGAGGTTTACTTTTAGTAGGATTCAAACTTTATGACTGCTCTTTCCCTTATGTTTGAATGAACAAAATTATGTTCGATAGAGCATAAAACTGTATGTTAGAGGTCTGCACATTTATTTGCGCAACCAGTTTTGTTCTGGTTGACTATGCACAATATAAAACACATGTTTTACAATACAATTTTATAGTTTTATATGAAGTTTATTTTGTTAGTGACTTTTTTTTGTAATTTATTGCTTATGCTTATTGATTTATGTTATTTAATCAATTCTTCTGCACTGCTAAGGCCATACATGTATAAGATAATACCTATAATACAAAAATTTGTTCTTTATTCTGTGCTCCTTTTAACCTTGTTAAAACCTATATTAACCATGTTTTGACCTTAATTTATTTCATAAAATTACACTTTTAATGTTGCAATAGCTATGTTAATTCACTAATTTTTACTCGTGACAAAAGTGTAGGCATACAAGCCCATATAAGCGTCAAATTCATACCCAAATCTAGCAGCCCAAAGTTACATTATGACAGAAGTTTTTTAAAGCTGATCATAAACATGTCTGAGCTTAATTTACTGAACAGACTGTGTTTATTCTCCAATGTGACCTACACACAACACATTTGCCATATTTAACGTGTGCTTGTCCACAATTTTGTTTGTCCTAGGACGCTAGACTCAAGCCCGGTATTGTTTTTCACATTACTTAAGGCTTGGTCTAGGAGTAAACACAGATTCTTGTAATATGTGTATGGCCTTTGAATAGTATAGTGAAAACACCATCTATACCTAGCTTAACTATTCTAATATGTATTCTGGCACATTTAATCTTTGATTTATCCACTTAATAGTAATAAGTAAATAATTTTAAACTGTATGCTTTGCAGTTTCTAACTGTTCATTTATCCTCAGTTTACAGTTTCTTTTATAACCGATTTGGCTTTCACTAATATAGTTACTTGGGGTTTTAAAGTATAAGTTAAAAAATGTTGTATAAGTCAAAGCTTTGTTTTGTATATACCATGACATTTCTTTACCTAATTGTAAATTTAGTGAAGTTTTTTGAAAACTTAAAATATATAAATTCTTTTGAACTTGATTTTTTAAAGAAGTTAAATAATTCAAAATTTCCTTAATAATTCTAAACAATTTAATCATTACAAATATTTTAATATCATTTTTTATGCGCACAATTGCTTATCTGATTATAATTTTCATTAAATAATATATTTGAATTTGTTTTACAAAGTATTTAGGCCTAAACTAAATTTATTTTTTATCACCCCAATTCATTTTCTGATCCAATGTATGGTATATTCCTATCTTTCTAATTAATTTTATTACTTTCCTTAAATATTATTAAGATTTATCACAGAAAATAAGGTACAGAGGAAACATGGTTATGGGACTATCGTGTGCTTTTAGCTCTAGTATGTTGAGACGGAAATATACTTGTGACAAGCAACGAGCACTGTGCGGAAATACCTATCGCACAGGGCAGAGGGTCTTTCTCCACCATTAGTGTTGTAGTACATGATGGCGAGGGGGTGGTGTAGGACTTAGGGCGCCCTAGACACCACTTAAGTGTACCATTGAATGTTTCATCTGTACCTTACTTATCCGTGGGGTTATTTATATAGTTATTACATAAACAAAAACTTAAAACTTTTACACTGTTTTACAATTTCAATTATTGTATTATAACAGTACGTTTGTAATTTATAGACTGAAAAATAATTACCGATAAAATGTTTTGCACCAGCCTCTAAACTTTTTTCAATGTTCAGAGCGTAAAAAGTTGAGTGGAAAATAATTATCTTAAGTTCCTTGCAGTTTGATCTTCTTATGATTTATTAATTCAATGTCTAAAATATTATTAAGTAGCCTACTTGTATGAACAACGGCGTTGATATTGCAAACATATCTAATTACCTAAGTGTTTATTTTAGCTTGATCCAAGTAATATTCAAAATGAAAAGTTCTTTTTCATCGAAATATAAAGCACTACACAATTATTATGACTGCTTTGGAAATTTATCGTTTGAATTTGTGCCAAAGATTGTGTCCTATGTCAATTTATCTTTGCCAACTAGATCTGAAAGTCAGAATGCTACTTTTTTACTTACTTATACTGTACTTATAAGCCTTAGTCTTAAAAAGCATATTATTTTTCTTATGTGATATGTTTAAAATGTATTCTTCTTAGCCAGTTTTATCTGAACCAAAATGGCTGTAGTGTTTTACTCAATGGTTTAGTCAAATCTCAAATTGAAAATCGGCAAAAAGAGTTTGGAATGTTTACTCATATTTCAGTTATCTTACAAAACATGTCTCCAAATTATTTTGGCATTTTCGTCACATCGACTTTAAAGAACACCAACCTTTCTTATTGTAGTACATGTATATACGCAAAGTTTATATTTTTATACACCACTCTAAGCAATCAAAATCAATGCTGCTAGAAATTTAAGTAAGCTTAATATAAATTTTCTGAAAATGTGGATTAAACTTGAAAAATGTGTATATTGTAGCCTTTCATAAACATGATCCAAAATGGTGTTTCAGTATCATGAAAATTGTTCATTACACAACCTTAAAGCTCTTAAAGTTTAATTTACCTTACGTTTGAACATATATTTTAAATTTAAATAAATGATATTTTTCTTAACTTTTAATCAAAGTGAAATACAGGATCAGATCAAACTAGAATGATAAATGTACATAACAAGAAGTTGCCCACAAAGACAGTAATTGATTTTGTTTGGTTGGAGTTTCAATTTAGTACAAACTGTATTTATATGTCAACTATGTATATGTCACTATTTCTTCTGATATGCTTAGTTGTATTTTACAATATGTTATTCACTGGTCCCCTCGGCACTTGAAGTTTTTAAAAGTAGGTGGAGTCTAAGTAATCATTTTAAAATCTAAATACACAATAAAGTTGTGTAAAAAAGTTAAAAGATAAATTAAGGGCATTTTGAAATTTGTAGAGCAATGCAAATAAGGCAGCGTGGGGCAGGAAATCTCTACCTACAATACAGGCACCACTGGGGGAAATAAATCATCCTCCCATTCCAACAACCTTGCTTCATTTTTACGACCCCGTGAGCTCAGCTTCGTACGGGGTACGTTATGTCCAATCGTCGCTCCGATTACACATGTCCGATTGTGCCAGTTTATACTTTAATCCAGACTGGGTAGCTGAGTGATTAAAGTACTCGCCTAACAATTAAAAGGTCGCCGGTTCGATCGTGAGAAAAGTCAGTAGCTTTTGATAGTTTGAAACCGGACCCAGCTTTTCCTGATAATTGGGCAAATGATCCTGACTGATGAACCAGCTGATCTTAGTCAGTAACAAAGCTACACAGATTATCTCCTCTACACTCATCCTTCACTCACACTTTTTAGAGAAAAACTAACTCCAATTGATTAAATTACTGTAGAACAATATAATATCAATGTTTAAATAACTATTTAAGCATGATTTACACGTTAAAAATTATTTAAACACGATTTATACGTCTAATATAAATTTGATAGCTTGTTAAAATTTTGATTGCCATGTAATTTGAACACAGGTGGTCGACTTACAAGATATTCCATATAATCTTAGAACGTCGTGATGCTTTTAACATTCTTAACCTGGAAATGTTTGAAAAATTCACAAATATTGAATCATGTCAAGATCTAAAAACTACTTGAAAGTACAGCTTGTAATCATTCAGGTGCCGAGAAAGACTCAACCAAAGATCTGTGCGGTTTGCACCACTGCCAGTAGTTAAGTTGTAAGTTTTGCGGCACACTTTACCATTCCGATAATGAGCTGCATTTCTTTCTTACTACTTTCAGTATTCTATACATTTATGATATTTTACATTTTTATTCTCACCTCAAAATACTTAAGTTGTATGTGTAAGGTTTGCTAGACTTTTTACTCTGTTCATTTATGCTCAATGTAGCGTATTGCTGTAAATTGTTTTTACTGATTGTTATGAGTCTTGGAACTGTTTTAGCCTTTTGATTTAAATAAAAATGTGTGAGAATTTCTAAATATGTTTAACATGTCTCTCATATTTTTATCAGGTTTTTTGTGTGCGCTATGCACCGAAAGTAAAAATTAAGGGTTTGATATTTAACTCTAATTTCAATTTGTTTATAACAGTTCCAAGATTAGATTATAGGTTTGTTGAAGAACAGAGTTTTCTTGTGGTTGTTTACATCAGGAAATCATAACAAACAACGTGTTAAATTGCTTGATTTAGATAGTTTACCCGTAGATTATTCCACTTTAATGCTGAAATATCCTAGTACCATTTCATATTACTTACTCTTACTAACTCCCATGGCCATGGATACCCTAGGTGGTATTTGGCCTCGCCAACAAGTTGCCTCCATCCCGCCCTGTTCTCTGGATCTTCTTGCCTTGCTCTCAATTTTTTTAATCTTTCTCCACCTGGTACTTCCACTTCATATTTATGCATCAAAAATTGAAAATATTTGGCTCATTACACTTCACTTAAGATACTTCAAAATAATTTAAACTTCCCTGGTTACCACATAAGCATCTAGACTGCCAGTGCAACTCCTAGGATCGGTAGGATCGTGGATCAGATCGAAAAACCGCCCACCACCGCTCAGTGCCGATGGCGTGACGTCAACCATTACTGCAACGATACGGAACTGAGTCATGAGCCTTTGTGGTGTAGTGGATAGCGTGTCGTGCTGATAATCTGAAGGTGCCGGTTATAATTAAAAGATTGTAAAATTGAATTTGAGACATTTATAATTTTATTTTTAGAACAGAGCTATTTTTCGATTAGTAAACCTTCATTCGAGTTTATCATTATCAGCAAGTTTGGTTAGGTTATGATAGTTTAATTATATTTAATTCAAATTTAATCTACAAATTATACGTTTTGACAGCGACAGTGATACAGATAACAATTTTCCGCGAACAGTTAGATAAGCTATGCTGATGCGCCGGTATGATTCGGAAGCGTACGACATGGTGCGGTGGTGGGGGGTGATCTACTGATCTGATCCACGATCCTCCGATCCTCGGACTTGCACTGGCAGTCTAGACGCTTGTGGTTACCACAGTCAATTATATTGTTTAAATTGATCATTTTTAGATGGTCAGAAACATTGCAAGAATACTCTGTTTTTTTAGGTTATTGAAAGGATTGTTACAGTTTCATTTGGTTTACTATTATATAAGTGTTCATTATAAAACACATGACATTGTTGCATTTTATATTCATCTCTGTTACTCAAAGCTTGCTTGTTAAGGGGAGTTACCCTAAAGGTCTTATAATATGACATTGAGATTTCATTGTATTCGTTTTGCACAAATAACATTTATTTTAAGGTTTTACTGTATGCCAGTTGAATATTTGTTGGTTTAAATTGCACTTCTATGCAACTTGTTTGAAAGTATTAAGGCTGAGTTGGAATAGTTCTATAGTTCGGCCGCTTAGAAAGCGACCCCCTCTAGCATTGGTTAGTATTAGCGCGCAGGTCGCTTTCTAAGCGGCCGAACTATTGTTGCAATTTATAAATTTGAATATTAGGCCTATACTGTTTTGAAAGCTTCATGTTAAAGGGATGTCAGAAAACAAAACTTAAACTCGATCAAATAGATTGAAATAATGATGTTAGTTTGTAATTTTAATTTATTCAAAGTACAGAATGTATTTCCCCAAAAAAAAGACAATGATACAGTTTTGAACTTAAAAGTTTTAACTGATACTGATAGTAATTGGTTAGTTGATAATGATATAACAAAGTTTGATGTCACAGTAAAACCTCACTAACTCGACACCCGGTAACTCAACAGTCGACAGCTGATAGGGTGCACGTAAAAAAGCAATTTTTCAGAACATTTAGTTTTAAACTTTTAATTTTTGAATATTCTACATTTTTTTACTAAATATATGTAAAAATAGTCATGAAAGCAATAAATTCTATTCTGATATGTTAAAAAAATGAATGGTCTGGGTAACTTAACTTGACAACCCCCAAACTCTACCAACTCCAGACCACAAATTGTCGAGTTAGTGAGGTTTTACTGTACAATGAAAAATATAATTTCCTCTTTGTAGTAAATCAAGAATGGTAAAGGGAATGTTTTTGGACACATATATTTAATTATGCTTTTAGATATTTTTGCTTAAAAAAACTCGGTGAACATCTTCAAATTACATGGACCGACATGTTGAACCAACATCTTAGCTAAACAATATCCCTTCACATTTATCAACAGTCTACTCTTGGTAATTCAAACACTCGATATATTATTGAAACTTTCCATTATTCAAAATAAAAGTTCAGTCTGCAGAGAATCTCCTAATATTCAAAGTTTTACCATGCATTTTGATACACTCTGGATTTCAAAGTCAAAGTTCAGAGGGTAGGCCAATTTGGAACATTTAGTATTTCGAAGTTTCGCTGGCAAAACATTCCATAATTCGAAGGGGAAATTTCTCCCTGCCACAACAGGAAACTATACATTTTGTTAGTACAGTAGTTCATCTTATAATGTCATTGATAACACAAGAATCAATAGAAAAAGCAAACAAAATGACAGATTTTTGTTGTAAAGTTACTTAAATGAGCTGTTTAATTGTAACGTTCTGTACCTTAAACAGAATTTTACAAATTCACTACAAGGTGCCTGGAAACTAAATACAGAGGAGTGTGACAGCTGGTACTGAACCTGTTAAAAAATTAACTCTTTGTAATTCAAATGGTTAATTTTTCTCCCGATAAATCAAAATTCTTGATAAATCGAACCTCTTTATAATGCAGATTTATTTGCTTGGCCCACCAATTTTGAATTATCAAGTGTCTACTGTATTGCCTGACCAGTGTTGGAAATCCCTTGTTTACAAACTCAGCCTTCAAATGATTTGCACTTTTTCAGTTAATATATGTATTTTTAATGTTCAAACTGTTCAAAATCCCAAATAATGTTTGTTTTTAAGAAAATATGTCTATTACCAAAGTATTTTATACAAGTGGTTGTATATAATGTACTTTTGCTGTAAAATTAATATTGTACCATGTGACTTTGCTAATTTATTAAAGACAAACCAACAGTATTTATTGTCATAATTCTATTCCTGAATGTCAACTCTGAATATTTTTTTTATTCTCGATATTTGACCATATTAACATTAATTTTATGTATTTAAGTTTAGAGCTTTCATAGAACCTTACATTTTTGTGCCCTATCCAAAAAGACTTGTGTTAACACTCAACAGCTAAAGATAAGCTGTTGCAATACATAATAGTTATGGATAGTCAATGATATAATGATTGAAATGAAAAATGTCTTTATTTGAGAGCTGAAGTTAGGACTAGCAAGTCAGCAACCACTTAACCTCTAAAACATAAATAAATAAAAGTATTCACTTATATAAATAAAATTGAATAATCTAAAGTACTATAATAAAGGTACACATGAAAAAATTAAATTTAGTAATCCTAAAAAATCCCTTTTACACAAACCGCCAACAGCCCGTTCCAACACCAGCTCCAGAGACTCACTCATGCTAAGGCGGCCGTGCTGCTGCTCAATGTGTAATAAATTTGATCTCTGCCCTGGTGAATTGGTGTAGATAAAAGGAGAGAACTTCAACGACCTCTATCGGCACTGAGAACGGGTGCTGATGTCAGAGATAAAATGGAAGTTATCTGATAAATACTTGGGAATTTTACAGCAGGTTGAAATAGGGAGTAACAAGGTCATATCGCATAAGGCCAAACATGAATCTGATACAAGAACTTGGCGCTCGCTGAAGTCACAGAAAACATACTATGTTTTCTGTGCTGAAGTCTGCTAGAATCACCACCTCACAGTAGTTGAAATGAGTCGAGATGAGAGTTTTTACTGACATGATTTTCAAAGTTCAGTGGGAGGTATTCTGCAAAACGTTTGATGATCGGAATAGCCCCAAAAACCCTGTTACAAGTGGAATTCGATAGGTCAGACCAAATGAAAAATACATTTTATTTCGAACCAAAATGTATTGCAGACAATATTGTAGCAATTACAATCAATTAAGCTACTTTATGATGATGTGGTACAAAAATAGTGCAGTATAATAGAGTATTTAAATTTTTATATTTCCACGGGTGAAAGTGGCCACTTGGTCCCCAGTCTTTGTTTTACGATTTTCCATTCATTAAGGGTACAAAATGTTAAACAGACCTCCCAGAAAATGAGTTGGTCAAAATTTCTACATTTACGGATGATACTGTAATTTTGTCTGTTCATCGTGATCCAGTTCAAGCTACTCTAAATTTACAGCAAAATCTGAACATAATTACTGATTGGTTTAAAACCTGGAGATTCAAAATTAAATTAAACTAAATCTTTCCAACTTTCTTTTACTCTAAATCGAAATTCTTGTCCTCGGTTTTATGGGGTATAAATAGGTTTTTCCCATTTTTGATAAAAAAAAAACATAAAATTTTGCAATTTCTTTCCAACCTATTTTGTAGAGCTTAAAAAAAAACAAATAATTTAGTATATTGAAGCGTTATTATGTGCCTAATAGTTACGGAGAAAATTCCAAAACAATGTAAATCTAAAATTTCCATGTTATTCTTATGGAGAACAAGTAAACTGTTGTAGTTTGCTTGTTTATGAACATATTTTGATCAAATTTGGAAAATGTTTTTATTTCTTACTAACTATTAACATTTAAATAAAAAAAAACTGTACCCTCCCTGATGCAGCAAACCTAAGTACTTGTTAAACTAATTCTATTTAAATAGGAAATAAAGGTTATACAGGGTGTTTCAGAATTCGTGTCGGATATTTTAGGGTATTGTTCCTGGGTAAGAAACAAATCCAAATATCATATTTAAATTGACCGGAAGTCCTTAGTTACTCACACAGCCGCCATTTTGTTTTTTCACTTATTAATTGTTTTATAAAAAATGGTAAGAGATAAAAAATTGAAACTTTGCAAAAACATTTATGACAACTAGACAAAGCTACAAAAGAATTATGAAATTTTTTTAATTCATAAAACAAAATGGCGGCCATTTAAAATTTCGTTTCTTAAATTACTCAAAAGCCACTGAGTTTACAAAAATTTACAAGGATAACTTTTTTAAGATAATTTAATTACAAATCTATTGACACCTTAACCTTTAAGATTGGATGCATATTAACTGAGATATGGCAGCTTTAGTGATACGTGACCGCTGGAGGTTAGATGTAGTGCATGCCGAGGCATGCGGTATAAGTCTGCCACAACAATGCAACTGTCTGCGTCCGCTTTGCAAGTTATTTTTAAACGATTTTAGATTATTTCAAACAATAATAAAATATTACATAACCCCAAAAGTGTCTTTTTTTATCAATTATCAATCATTAGGATGGCTTAAAAATTGCACACCTATTTACTGTTTTTAAAATTCACACTAAACACCCTAATTTTTTAAATCAGCTGTGGTTAAATTAAACATAGTTGTTTACAAACTAATCAGCTGATTTTATTTTTTCTAAAGATGTTATTGTTTATTTAATGTAGTCAGTTACTCTAACTTTTTACACTTACTT